GTGGGTGGAAATGTCTGTGCGTCTTATAGTGCAAATGTCACCTCTGCCACTGTTCACCACCAGCAGGGAACGGTGGAGCAGCTGATTGGCAGTTGGATCGGCCTCCCGGAATACCACTGATCAGCTGTTCTAGGTGGCAGTGATTGGTGGCGGTGATAAATGGCAATTGGTGGCGGCGGTGATCGGCGGCGGTGATCAGTGGCAATCAGTGGCGATGGCGATCTGTGGCAATAGGTGGCGGCGATATGCGGCAATATGTGGAGGTATTTGATGGTGAACGGCAGTCGGCAGAGATCCCTGCCGCCTAGAACAACTGATCAGCAGTATTCCGGGAGGCTGATCCAACCACCAATCAGCTGCTCGGCAGCAAAGGCTCCAGTGTTCCCCGCCGGCGGCAGCAGCTCAGCTCAGTTGACCGGTGGTGGGCGCAATGGAGCGGAGCCCTGACAAGCCACGTGCTGGAGCTGCGATAATGTGCTGAAGGTGACCAGGCTGTTTGCTGCAAGGACACTAGCCAGATAAATACCGGATGGATGCTGAGAGGCAGAGGCAGATTTTTTTTCTTGTTTTCCTCTTCTAAAGCTAATGTGCGTCTTATGGACCGGTGTATCTTATAGTGTGAAAAATACAGTATATTTGATTGCTTTTTAAACAGTTCACGACTTGGAGCCCCTTGGAGCCAAAAGATTATAGGCCCCAATAGTAATCATTCTCAGAAACTCATCACTTCAAAGAATATATAAAACTCTGTGTCGAGCTCAACTTGCTTACTTTATCTGCTAAATAGCCAAATATATTAGCATAATTATTGCTTGATTGCATTTAACATATTTATAACTTACTTTTCAGCCAAGATTTGGTCTCAGAAAAGTTTGCTTTTAAAGCAGTGACAAAAACATACGCTATATTTCTGAGTACTGCCATAGTTTTTTTGACTCACAATATATTGTACAACATATGTTTAATATATTATATCTGGTCCAAATGTTAATATATCACCATAACTAAAGTTTTTCCCATCCCTATATCCCATTACCCCTCTTGATTTCTCCCATGTCCAATGTTGTTCATATTGCAAAATACGTATGATTTTATCTGCATCTTAATTCACAGAGTAGCAATAGCAATAGCGCCTAGACATACATATCGCTTCACAGTGCTTTACATCCTTCTCTAAGCAGTTTACAAAGTCAGTATATTGTCCCCAACAATCTGGATGCTCATTTTCCTGACCTCAGAAGGATGGAAGGCTAAGTCAACCTACATGAGTAGGTATTGTGGATAACTAGATCCTTTCTGGAAAATTCACTGTGCATGTATTAATATAGAAGCTATTCAGTTCAGTTTTTTCATCTGTGATTTTTTTAAAAAAAGAAACTGATCATTTCTATTCATTGCACTAATATACATTTTGTCTATAACTTCCATAAAATTGGGAGGGTTTATTTAAGCCTTTGCTAGAGCATGTCCAATAAAGGTGAGCCAATCACCCCTCTTTTTCATTTTTTGTTGCCGTGCAAAATTATTTGAAGATAGGTTCTGATAATTGATCTTGGTTTTGTTACCAATACAAGTAATTCTCGACTTGCCACAGTTCATTTAGTAAACGTTCAAAGCACTGGGGGAAAAAAATCATTTTTCACACTTACAACCATTGCAGCCTCCCCATGTTCATGTGAACAAAATTCAGATGCCTGGCAACTGTCTCACATTTATGACGGTTGCACTGTCCTGGGGTCATGTGATCCTCTTTTGCGACCTTCTGACAAGCAAAGTCAATGGGGGAAGCCAGAATCACTGTGTCACTAACTTAACAGCTGCAGTGTTAAGTACGGCTAAGAAAGGTCGTAAACTGGGACAAAATTCATTTAACAAATGACTCGCTTAGCAACATAAATTTGGGGCTGAATTATGGTCGTAAGTCGAGGACTACATGTATTTAACCTGAAGGGAATGAACCAAGTTTCCCTTCTTTTCTAGGAAAACCAAGAAAGAGTGGGGCATGCATTTATGTAGGGTGCATTTGTACAAAGATGCACTTGGACTGGCTCTACTGCTCTGGGAGCCCTAAAGATCTTCTGTTCATGATTTACGTCAGAGAGACTTGTACAGTGGTGAAATTTCATTTTTTTTTTACTACCAGTTCTGTGGGTGTGGCTTGGTGGGCGTGGCAGGAGAAGGATACTGCAAAATCTCCATTCCCACCCCACTCTGGGACCAGCCAGAGGTGGTATTTGCTGGTTCTCTGAACTACTCAAAATTTCTGCTACCAGTTCTCCAGAACCTGTCAGAACCTGCTGGATTTCATCCCTGGGTTTCTACCTTTGAATTGTCCAACAAAACTTAAAGGCAGGGGTGGGTTCTACTTTTTTTTACTACCGGTTCTGTGGGCGTGGCATATTTTGTGGGTGTGGCTTAGAGGTCATGTGACTAGGTGGGCGTGGCTAGCTGGTCAGAGTCATTTCTGGAAGGTCCTCGCACTTACGACCAGTCCTTGCACTTACGACCCGACTCATCTGTTTGCTTTTAACACTGATCAGCTGTAGGACAGCCCTTTGAAGCCCCGCGGCAAGAGTTTAAACAGTTTTTTTCCCTCTAGTCATCAGCTGGGACTCAGGAGGCAGCAATAGATTGGGGGTGGGGCCAAATAAAAGGTAAGAATAACGTGGGTGGGTTGGAGGGGGGAGGGGGGGAGAACCGGTTTGGTGACGTCATATCGTCACCGCTACCGGCTCGGCCGAACTGGACCGAACCGGGAGGAACCCACCACTGCTTAAAGGAGACATTTTGCCAATTAATATCTGAATTTCTTAGATTACAAATGCCAGGTTTGCTTTGTAGCAAGCCCTTTACCCATCTCTTGTGCTTTTTATGAAACCTGACAATAGGGATTTCCAGTTTTCATTAAGTTTATGTAGAAGTAAAAATCGTATTTTCAGCAGATTGAAATTTCTGCTTTGATCCTTTCTTACTTTTTTTCCCCTATCTTGTATTTCGTTAAAAGAGTCCTTAAGAACTATTAACTCATTAGTTTTAATGAAGTTAAATTTATAATTCTTTAAAAATATTTAAAGTATAACTCTTGGTATTGTTCTGAGGAATATTTGGCAGAGGTACTTTACCTGTTCTGTTAATAGTTTAAACTGACTTGAAGAAAGCTCCATCTAGTGGAAATCTGATAAACTACTGGCTTTGTTTTTAACCTGAATTTAAAAGAATCATTCATGTTGACAATATGTCAAGAGTTGTTTCAGATACTATTTTCCATCCTGCTAATGAGCATGTGTATAAATCAAAAATAAACATATCATATTGCAATTTAGCGTGATGCATAAATCCATAATTGCATTATTCGGTATAATTAACTCTGCCATATTTGCTCCTTCCCAGAACTATGAAATCCTGATATAATGTTTCATTTGAGACATTGTAGGACTAGTTAAAGGTTGTTCATTACTTATGTTGTATTTGTGAAGGGTTTGCTTCTTGTTTTAGTGCAAAGATATGACTCGGGAATCAGGGAAATGGGTAAATATTTTCCTTTTTATACTCTAACTCCAGCCTCCATGTTAGCTTAATACAGAGTTTTCCCCTTCAAGTATTTACTCAAGAAAAAAAGAAGCATTCGCATTATTAAATATGAAAGTATACATTTAAAGATATTTCAAATATTCTATAATGGCATGTCAGTAAGGATCCTTTTATATTGGACACAAAATGAGATATTCATCCATCCATCCATCCATCCATCCATTCAATTTATATGCTGCCCATCTCCCAAGGGTGATACTAGGCTGCTTACAATCATTCCCTTACAAGGTTCAATAAAATTTTAAAACAATAGAGATCTTAAATATAAAATTCAGTGAAAATTAAATTGACCAATGTTAAGGTTATTGTTGTGTTACCAACCAATAGAGTGTAGAGAAACGTTGCTGAGAGCAATGAATAAGAGATGTGCAAACTGGTTTATCAAAAGTTTACTTTATAGTGAAAAAACAATCTCATAGTCTTTAAATCAATCCAAGTCTTTCCCAGTTAAATCAGTCCAGTGATACAAAATCTTCTTACCACACAAACAGTAGTTGGTTAGAATAACAAACTCACTCTGGTTCACAAACCACGATGGTGGCAGATCCATCCAACAATGATCGCAACTCCACACACTATGGTAGCTTATCATCAACTGAATACGTTACAGTACCTTTCTTAAATACATTCACAACTAATTACAGCATGACTCAGCATTACAGTGAATCAGCAGTAAAACTTTAAAGTCACACAATACATATTCATCTTAAAGTTACAGTACACATATATTGCCTAGACAACTTGTTAGGCTCAAACCATATCCTAACGGGAGCAAAGTACACACTTTGAGAGGGTGGGAGGAGATGGGATGTTATTGAATCCATTCACCATCTTCAGATTGCCACATCCCCATTGGGGTGCCAGGCCAGTTGGCACAGCCATGTCTTCAAGCCCTTTCAGAAGGCCAAAAGGAAGGGTGTGGATCTCATCTCGGGACATGAAGTTCCAGAGGGTGGGACCCACGGCAGAAAAGGCCCTTCTTCTAGACCCTGCCCAACAGAATTCTTTGACAGATGGGATCCACTGCATGCCCTTTCTGCTGGCGTGGGTGAGACTGTTCCTCAGATAGCCTGGGCCCATGCCATGCAGGACTTTAAAGGTGATAACCAACACCTTGAATTTGACCCGGAAACAAAACTGGCGACCAGTGCAGCTTGCAGAAAACTGCCTGAGTAGTGCATTCTGCATCAGCTGAAGCTTCCGGATAATGTTAGTTATAACTCACTGATTTTAATGAAGTGAGTTTGTGGTAAGTATACGATCGCCGTGATCGTCTAGTGGTAAGTATCCCTGCCTGTCACGTGGGAGCCCGGGGTTCGATTCCCCGACAGGGAGCCAGACATTAAGTTGGGTTTAAATACAAAGTGGTACTTGGTAAAGTGCCTTGTTTTTGTTTTTAATTTCTGCAGGCCCATCTGTATTCCTTAGGAGCTACTTTAACAGCAGCACTAGAGTATACAATGGAAACTGAAACAGATCTGGAATTTAGCCAGGATCTGTATGCTCTGCTTGGACAAATGCAGAAAGAAAATCCTAAAGAAAGGCCAGATATTGAGGTAAAGGTCTTGATTTGCCATCTTGAATAGCAACATTTATCCAATCTTCCTTTCACTGTTTCATTACAAGACAATTGGCTGAAGCTAAGTATGGGTAAAACAACATTACTAGAAATATAGGCATTATTGTTATATAGTATATGTTGTTTGGCATTAATATAATTTGTCGTTTCCACATGGGAGTTACTATTCTTCTTTAACAAAAGAATAACAATTTGGAAATATATGTTTCTTTTATTAGTGCCTGAGTTTATAGGGGGCAAACATTCTAAATAAATATATGCAATGGAATTTTTAAAATAATACATTCCAAGGAAATGAATTATGGATCTAGCAGCTATGATGCTAACAATAATAACTTACAATATCATGTGTGCTAACATAAGAAGTCAGGATTGTATGCAATGTTCGTTAATCAGAATACTTCACTTTAGACTTGGCAACTTGGTTTGTTTGGCTTAAATACTTTGACATTGGTCATATGTATATTTTATTTGCTTATTGCAAAAATGTATGCTCTGTATACTTTTGCTTATTGCAAAAATGTATACACTGCCAGCTCCCAAAGATTCAAGGCAGCTTACAAAACTCTCTAACAAATCTCAAATCCCACAATAATAGATAACATTGCAGTAACTCAGTTTTTTTTTTAAAAAAAAAATCAAAACACAAATCCAATTTAAAGCTTTCTCAATTCCTCCCTCTCCCTCTCCAGAGGGTAATGTCCCAAATGTGCCAGTAAAATTCAGGGCTTTGTAGAAGGACAAAATTGTGGGAGGGCAAATGTACCTCAAGGGACAAGCTCTTCGAGGTTACTCCCTCGAGGTGGGCAACCTAAGTCTTCTATCCAAAGATGAAAACATGGACAGGATAATAGGAGAAGATCGCCTAGCCCTAGAAGGTAGACAGGAATCAACCCACATAAGCTTTATAAACTGAGTCCAGCATTTTGAATTAAACACAGAAACCAATTGCCTTCTAATGCCAACTGGATAAAGGCTTCCTTGCCCATGATTTCTGCCTGCTGCTGCAGTAACACCCAGGAGTCCAAGAGAGCCCTCAAATCTACTCCTTCAGTTTAAAGTTGTTTTGGCCCCTGTAGTCCCTCACATGCCTCCAGATGCTAAATAACAAATGCTACTGCATATCTGGCCTTGGGTGATGCTGTGCAACTACGTTTTTGCAGCATTCTGATGATATCTCATCCTAAACTAATATTTGATCTACCGAAGCTGCTTCATACAGATTTTTAATATCATGGGTGAGTAGAGCACAGATGGACATTTCCTCTTGTGATCTGGGGTACCTTACAATAAAGCAATCACAGGCTGGACATCTCCCCTCATGATCACCAGTTAGACACCAGATACACACTCCAGAAGATTAGATTAGATTAGAATTCTTAATTGGCCGTGTGTGATTGGACACACAAGGAATTTGTCTTCACCATTTGCGGGCAATTCAGAAGAATAGAATGATGGACGCTATTAAATGCTACTAAGAGATTATAGAAGCAAAGGAACATTATGGGGGCGAAGAGGCGCTCCCATGTGACACCTCTCCTGCGCGAGCTGCACTGGCTCTTGGTGGTCTTCCGGGTGCGCTTCAAGGTGTTGGTGACCACCTTTAAAGCGCTCCATGGCTTAGGGCCGGGGTACTTACGAGACCACCTTCTGACACCAATAGTCTCCCACCGGCCAGTATGCTCGCACAGAGTAGGCCTCCTCAGGGTGCCATCCGCCAGACAATGTCGGCTGGCGACTCCCAGGGGGAGAGCCTTCTCTGTGGCGGCGCCCACCCTCTGGAACAACCTCCCCCCAGAGATACGTACAATAACAGACCTCCGGATTTTTCGTCGGGCCCTGAAAACCCATTTATTTCAACTAGCTGGGCTGGCTTGAGTTAAGTTTTAAATTGGTTTTTTTAAATTGGGTTGTTTTAATTTACGGCCAAAATATTTAATTATTTTAAACTGCTTTTAAATTTTGTATGTTTTGTTTTTTACTTTGGCTGTTCACCGCCCTGAGTCCTATTGGAGAAGGGCGGTATAGAAATAGGAACAAATAAATAAATAAATAAAATAAACATACACCCTTCTTCCACATTTCAGTCCAAGTCATCTATCTGACCAATCAATGCAGCTTTGGTCCCATGCCCAGGTCTAAACACAGACTGGAAGGGATCCAGATAATCCACTTCATTTTGATAAAGGCCCCAAATCTTTTCAGTCTCACAAATATATCACGACAGCCTTCCAGAAAGTCATCAATCTAGCCCTTCCCCAGAATAAATCTTGAGCAACTTTGAACAAAGCTTCTGAATGAAAAGAACCCAACAATGATCTTTTCATTCACCATTTTCAACACCGCCATAAACTTGTGAATGGGTGTGTCCCATTGGGTTCACTTACACTCATTTTACCATTTTCAAGTCCAAAGTATAAATTTCTGGAGAGCAAAGTGCAATGCTTCGTCTTGAGTTGCATTTTTAATTACATTTCTGTTTCTTGGAAGTTGCTGTTTTAGTTTCTAGGAGATACTGCATGTTTACCATTGAAACTTGATTTACTGCTATAACATATTACAAACCTAATTCAAACCCCTTTTATTCATTTAAAGTCCACTACCAAAAAATGAACGAAGGATGCAATTTTAACTAAAATTTAGGTACAAAAAAGATAAGGTATTCCCCCAATATAAACTATATTGCATTTTATTACCATATCTATATTTTAAACAGCATAAAATACTTTCAACTGTTATGCTACATAGTGATTTGTATACATGTAATAAATGGACAGTTGAAAAGAGATGATATATATAGGACCTCTGTAAATGCAAAATGCTGAAGTTTCCAAGGTAGTGTTAATCTATTGGATCATATGAAAACATAGCTAGATAATTGATGTCTTTTGATATAATTGTCATTGTAGGTTGTTCTATCATTATGCAAAGAGAAACTCAAGCTTTCCTCCCCAAGTGATATTTGCCAGGCTCTTTCAGCTACTGGAAGAAAAATGCTTTCAATTGAATCATATGGCACCTTTCAAGGTATAGTTTTTGTATTTTTGATGCATACCATGGACCTTGGAGTAATAATAATAAAATAATGTTTGTAGCTCATGAACTGAAATCCAAAAACATATGAGCTTGAAGTGACCTCTAGGTGTTTATGTACAGGATTTTTTTTTTAAAAAAAAGGCAACACAGTTCTAGGCTGCATTAACAGAGGGATAGAATCAAGATCACGTAAATGCCTTGGTAAGACATTTGGAATACTGCATCCAGTTTTGGTCCCCATGATATAAAAAGATGTTGAGACTCTAGAAAGAGTGCAGAGAAGAGTAACAAAGAGGATTAGCCGGAGGCTAAAACATATGAAGAATGGTTGCTGGAACTGGATATGTCTAGTTTAATGAAAAGAAGGACTAGGGGAGGCATGATAGCAGTGTTCCAATATCTCAGGAGCTGCCACAAAGAAGAAAGAGTCAAGCTATTCTCCAAAGCACCTGAGGGAAGGACAAGAAGCAATGGATGGAAATTAATCAAGGAGAGAAGCAACTTAGAACTAAGGAGAAATTTCCTGACAGTTAGAACAATTAATCAGTGGAACAACTTGCCTCCAGAAGTTGTGAATGCTCCAATACTGGAAGTTTTTAAAAAGAGATTGGACAACCATTTGTCTGAAATGGTATAGGGTTTCCTGCCTAAGCAGGGGGTTGGGCTAGAAGACCTCCAAGGTCCCTTCCAACTGTGTTATTCTATATTCTAGATATAGATAGTCCTTGATTTATGACTATAATTAAGTCTGGAATTAATCGTAAATCGTGCTGGTTGTTAAGTGAGTCATCACATGACCACACTCAGCTTTATGACATTTTATGCAGCAGTTGTTAAGTGCATCAGTGTGGTCATTAAGCAGATCAGTTTTTACCCAGTGAGCATTTTTCTCCCAGAAACCCGAAGTAAATGCCAGATTCTGGCAAGAAACACTATAAATCACAGTCATGTAACCATAAGATGCTGCAAATGGACATAAATGCAGGCCAGTTGCCAAGCACCCAAAATACAAACATGTGACAGAAGACAGTCAAAACTTCAAATCTAGGACACAAATAGCCCTGGGAAAGCTTGTCATAACTTCAAATGGTCATTAAACAACCAGTCCTAAATTGAGGACTACCTGTACTTTGAAATAATCTTCTCTTTTAATGGAAGTGTGAATTTCCGAGCTTCCAGCTTGGCATTGTGGACTTGTTGAAGTTTTCAAGCAAGCATATAAGCAGTGGTTGGCAATGATCTGTGTAACCTAATCTTATCCAGACATTGCTTCCAGGCTGTGAGATGTTAGGAAGATTGCTGGCGTGCAAAATATCGTGGGAAGCCATCAATAGTTTGGTATTTTTTCCAAGTGACCCTTTCTTATTTAACTTTTGATAATAGCACTCCGTATTAATTTCCAATTCTCATGGCACCAACAAATTCAGGATGGGATGCGGAGGCAGGAGAAAAAAAAATGCTTTTAATAAAATCCTCTCTCTTTGTATCTAGACAGTTCTGATGACATCTGGGAAGGAACGTTCTATGAGAGCCCTTCGCCGAATGAAGAGCGCCCAAATAATAACTTGGCTAAGACTAGAACACCATCACCAGAGGACTTGAAGTTTGCTAGAAGTGAATGTTCTTCTGGCACATATGCGTCGAATGACGGAAACGGTGATGTAAAGACCATGAAAATCAACAAGAAGGAGGAAAGAGTTTGCTGCCAAAGTATTTCAACCTGGGTTACAAAAAGTCAAGAGAGGAACAGTTTTATGAAACACAACAAGGAGTTAGATGCTAAGCCATATGCAACCGGAGCGGAGAGAGATACGTTTGAGAGATACTGTTTAAGGAAAATTAGAACTTTTCCAGATGTGCCATTTAACTCTGAGACATACTCAGGAGCATGTTTATCTTTTATAGGGAATCACACTTCACCGACAAGGAAGCCATGTCAGGGACAACCTGGTTGTACTGAGGACACTATCTTAGAAGGAGCATTAATTCAGTGTGATCATCCTGAATCAAAATCAGAATCTCTTCCGCATAACAATTTCGGAGAACTTTGTCTGAGCCCAAATACATCTTCAGTGTATCCAAACCACATGACATCCAGTGATGACAAAGAAGCAGTGGATATTTTTCCATATCGTTACACCATTTCTGAAACTTCAGGCCAAAATAATCTATCGGATGCAACAGATGAAACAAGTCCTGAATGCAAGGCATTAGAAAACTGTGGTGTAAGAGAATTCCTTAATGAAGCTCCTTTAAAATCAGGTCAAAACTCTTTGTTTTATATTAACAAAATGTCTCCCACATTTATGGCCTTTAAGGAAGATGGATGTAAGTCAACCATGCTAAGTTCTCCTGAAGAGACACACACTGAGAGAAAAGACAGTTGGATTGAAGACAGACAAGATGATGACGGGGACTCAGAAATGAGAAACAATGAGGTAGCAAAAACAAATCCTTCATTTAAAAACTATTTTAATTAGTCTGGCACATAAAGCACTTTCTTTGTGGAGATGGGAGAGTGTGGCCCTACAATTAAACTCTTTTAACACATATATGCCATGGTGAGTTAGTGAGGCAACTTTTGATTACCAGCACTTTAAAAAGGAAAGTTTGAACTGGAAATTGTTAATAAACCTTTGGATTTGAAAATTCAAGAAGTTAAATTTAATGCAACTGAAATATAAACGAAGTAAATTTCTACTTTATCACACTAAATCAAAAATCACCATCTGCATGCAAAATTTATTTTGAATCACATTACGGCCAATTTTATATAGATCAAGGTTCCGAGTCACTTTTTCTTTAAGATAATACATGTGTCATGTCAGATTCCTCAGGTAAAATGCTTTTCTCAGCAATTGGATATGTTCATCAATTCTTGGTGTAGTAAATGCTGGAGAAAGTGTATTGGAAAAGATAGCAACTTGTAGGTGGAGAATTAGAAGCAATTTTATGTCTAAGGCTGCTAAGGTCTAAACCAGTATCCCTTAGTTTATCACGTACACCAAGGTTTTAAAATATGATGCCAGGGATATACGTAAGAAGTCCCATTCATGCAGTAAAATAAGATAAGCTGGCTATTATATGAGTAAAAATAAGGAGGTAGAAACAGAGGAGTAAAATTGGTAGAAACAGAGGAGTAAAATTTGCAGTTTGGTTCAGTGTTCAGGAATGATCTGCATACTTTCTGCTTGCATTAGGTGTTCATTTTGGAAATGAACACTGTACAAATCTTGATGCGCTCTTCAGATTCCAGCTTTCTTAGTTTTAATGTTCCCATTTGTCTTGGAAACAACATAAATTTCCTTGATGCTTGATCGGTCAACTTTAATGTCACCCTCATGCTTCTATGCTCCTCTTTGCTTTATGTCAAAATTATATTGCCAAACCTGCTGCCTGCCAACTTCATAACTGTATCTTCAGACTTTTTAAAATGGCTTTTGCTTTGCAATTCATAAATAAACCAATTCAAGTGTGACTGAGAAGACTTTTTCTCTAACCTTAATTTTAACCTCGTTGCCTTGTCTCTTTTTCATGCAGTTGCCATGGCTTTTGAACTGCAATATAAAACTTTTTTGTATGCACTCTTCTCTTGCTTTGTTCTGATAATTTCAACCTCAGACCGTCATAGAAGTGAAAATCAAGTTGCCGGTAGACAATATATAATTTTCACAGAGTTATTATTATTCCGATCCCTAGATAAACCTGTTCAGAAGCTGGATGCAGTTTTCAGGAAATAATTTCTTTTATCTCTCAGAAATAGGAAATTATTTCTTTTTTCTAAAAAAACTAAAAAAAAAATCCAACTTTTGTCCAGAAAAAGAATGTCCCCTGAAATATTGAAGCTTTCAAACGGAGTAGAATGGATGCGGATGCAAAAATAAACTTAGAATTTTCCTTCCTTTTCTACTGTACATGAGCATTAAGCATTCACAAATGTTGTTCTTAATATTTATAAATGAGATAAAACTCTTAGCAGTAAAACATTGGTTCCTGGCAGTTACTCTAACAGGGCACTACAGGTGCCAGAAAAAAAAAATCTTTACTTAAAAAAGCCAAAATCTTAGAAGTTTGCCAAATCTGACAAGATGTTACAAGTCTTCTCAGAGGCTGTCCACTTTAATTTTTAAAATATTCTAATTAATTGAGGGGAAGGGATTGGGTCAGCTACAGGGTGGATTTGATTTAAATCATGATTTAAATCACTAGTAAAAAGGCTTGATTTAAATCAACTCAATTTAAATCATAATTTTTAAAGAGCAACTGTCATCTCTGCTACTTCTTTGACCCACTGTTGACTCACCGATAGTCCCAGTGTTGCAGAATATACAGCCTCATGCTACATAACTAAGCTCCATTTCATGCTGAATAAACTAAATTATTTATGTATCTTAAATAGAAAACTATCTTACGATAGATTTTTACCCCAAAAGTTTTTTATTAAAATAAATTTGATAAAAATCAAAAAAATCCGATTTAAATCAAAAAAATCTGATTTTTTTTTATTTTTTTAAAAAAATCATTGATTTTTATCCACCCTGGTCAGCTAGAAGGAAGTCATACAGCATGGAATCCATAAGTGTCATGTGCCTAAGCCAGGGGTGGGCTGCTGGGGGTTCGCAGGGGTTTGAGAGAACCTCTAGCTAAGATTCTGGGCAGTTCGGAGAACCCCCAAATCCCACTCCTGGCTGGTCCCACCCACTCCACCAGGAGTCCCCATGCAGCTCGTTTTGGATGCAGGTAAGTGCAGGGCACGTGCAGAGGCTCGGGGAGGGCAAAACATGGGCCTACTGGAAGTTCGGGAGGGCCTCCAGAGCCTGGGGAGGCCATTTCGGCTTCCCGGAGGCTCGAGGAAAGCCTCCGGAGCCCAGGGAGGGCAAAAACGCCCCCCCCACCATGGTGCAGGAGGATGACTAGTCTACACCCACCATGACCACGCCCACCCAGCAACCGGACAGAAAACCGCTTGCTAAAATTTTTGGAGCCCACTCCTGTCCTAAGCCTTGGCTTATCAAATGGTCCTCAATACTTCTGATGATGATGAGAGGGTGGCCCATACATAATAAAACTTCAGAACAGTTGCACTAGGTCATGACCACATTTGATATCAATATTGATTTGTTCTTGGTACTAGAGATTCCAGAATTTCAGGCAGGAGTTTTTCCTACCTAAACATAATTTTCTATCATGCCCCATAAACCAAATTGTAAGTTCACTGGCTTCCTTTAATTCTGAATATCAAAAATAACATAGAATCTTTCATGCTAAGTATGCTCCTTCACTGGCTCTTCCTTTTATCATTAATCTTCTTTGTTCAACTCTATGAGTGCTTAAAATTCATCTGGGCTCCAAGGGTCTTGAATTTTGTATGTAGTTATAGAGAAAGTGCTTTCAAAATTCAAATCTACTCATTGGAATGAGGTAAAAGTAAAATTCTGAAGATTCATTTTTATTCAAGGAGCAAAGGAAATAAGCTTAAAAAAAAAAACACTGGAGGGGGAAACAGCCCCATCCCCAGGAGTGAGAGACTTGGAGAAGGAGAGACATCTAATGAGAGGAGCCCTTTCTGAAGAAATGGTAGGCAGCAGAGAAATCAGCCATAGGCAGGGAAAGAGCCTTGGTAGTACAGTGGTCTAAAGCACCCTGTTATTAAGACCAGCTGCCTGCAATTACTGTAGGTTCGAATCTCGCCAGGCTCAAGGTTGACTCAGCCTTCCATCCTTTCTAAGGTAGGTAAATTGAGGACCCAGTTGTGGGGGCAATAAGCTGACTTTGTATAAATATACAAAAGGATGAAGGCTATTGCTTAGCACATTATAAGCTGCCCTGAGTCTCTGGAGAAGGGCGGCATATAAATCAAATTTAAAAAAGGGGGGGGCTGCATAGGCATCAGAGGACTGGAGAACGGGAGTGTGACAAGCAAAAGGGATGGAAGGCCAGGAGAGGATCATAGAGAAAGGATTTTCTCCAGTACTTGAGGGACTGCCACAGAGAGGGAAGGATTGACTTTTCCCCCAAAGAACTAGAGGGCAGGGCAAGTAATGGGTGGGAGCTTGTTAAAAGAGAGCTCCGACCTAGAAGTAAGAAATTTTTTGACAGAACAATTAATGGAATAGCTTGTCTCCTGGAATTGTGGGTGCTCGTCACGGGAGGTTTTCAAAAATAGACTGGACAGCCATTTAATTGGGATGGTAGAAGGTTTCCTATCTTCAGCAGGGGGTTGAACTAGAACACGGGTCTCCAACCTTGGCAACTTTAAACCTGGAGGACTTCAACTCCCAGAATTCCCCAGCCAGCAAAGCTGAACTGGGGAATTCTGAACTAGAAGACCTCTGAAGTCCCTTCCAGATCTATGATTCTAGGTTCTAAATTCCAATTCCTCCTTCTACCCTTCCCTACCTACCTTGATCCAAGATTCTGGATGCTAGATTACTGGAGTCCTTGGGCTCCAATTTAATTCTGTTGAATCCCAGCCCTGTTTGTAATAAGACCATGCTCCTCCACAGCTTCATAATGGTGAAAAGGATGTCCCTGGCGTGTATCACCAAGACCTGGGAAGGTAAGCACAGAGGGCTTCCTCTGTCTAACCAGGTTTCAGGCTAGCTGTCTTAACCAGAAAAGGCAAGGACACTAGGAGACCATCTCACATCAGAAAATGCTATTTATTATTTTAAAAACACAGCCAGGAGCCCTAGGGAAAGAGTTGTCTCGGTCTTCTCATATCGCTCAACTACAATCCTGCTCAATTCATTTCTTACTTTTCTTCTTGCGGTGTTGTTGCTGTTCCTGGTCTTTGTCATTCGTGGTTGCAAGGTCCTTTTGTTTTGACTGTTGTTCTTATAGCAAAACTATCCATCGTGGTCCAAGAAAAAGTTTGATTTTTCTGCTGGCTTGTTGCAGAGTCTGACCCTGATTTTTAAAACTACTAGGCCAAACAATCTCTCGGTGTTTAGTATAAGGCAATTTGAACTAGTGCTTAAGGCATCAGGCTAGAAACTGGAAGATTGTGAGTTCTAGTCCCACCGTGGGTTCAAAGCCAACTGGATTTGTCTAGTCACTTTCAACGAACCAACTCACATCACAAGGGGGTTGTTGCAACTCAAATAGGAGGAGGAAGGAGGAAAAGATATCTTCCCTACCTTGAGTTATTTATAAAAATAATAAAGGCAAGATAAATATTAGTGCTTTTAATAGGATTCTGTCCTATTTCACTGGTCAATCAAGGTGGAAAAAAGTAACCCTCAAAATAACTTTTCTGTGCATTTTCGAATGCCTTATTCACATTTTTTTTTCTTAGAGAAGAACATGAAACTTTACAATTGTATAATTGTAAAGTTTCATATTCTAATTCTAATATTATAACTATATAACTCGGTGCCTTCCGCCATGCCCTTAAAACCTTCTTTTTCCAGCAAGCCGGGCTGGCCTAACATTTTTTAAAATGTTTTTAATTGTTTGTTATTGTTTTTAATCATGGGGCCAAATTTATATATTTTTTTTGTAATTGTATTTTAATGTTTGTAGTTTATGTTTTTACTTGGCTGTTCACCGCTCTGAGTCCTCAGGGAGAAGGGCGGTATACAAATTTAACAATAAATAAATAAATAAATAAATAAATAAATAAATAAATAAATAAATAAATAAATAAAATATTGTATTATATTTGGATATTTATATATATGAAAGCTATGTTTTTTTAATTATGTCCAAGGGGAATGTATTTCTTTGTGTGCTAGAAGAAGAAAAAAAGTAACTCTTTTGCATATTTATCTATATCGAAGGCCCTAAGGTATTACTGAGAAGAGGTATCACCTATATCGGGGGTGTCAAACTCAAGGCCTAGTGTCCGGATCCATCCCACGGGGTACTTAGATCTGGCCTGTGGGGCTGCCATGGAAACAGCAAAGGACTGGCCCGCGGTGCTTCTGCCAGTGAAAACGGGCTCCTGAGCTCCATTTTTGGCTGCCAGGGGCTCCTGCAGGTGTCCCCAACAGAAGTGACGTTAAGCTGGCCACGCCCACCCTGGCCATGCCCACCCCAGCCCCCCAAGGTCAAACACAACCCTGATGCAGCCGTCAATGAAATTGAGTTTGACACCCCTGACCTATATCATAAATGCAATAACTTACTGTAATTTTCGGAGTATAAGACACACTTTTTCCACCCCTAAAAATGGGTGGAAATGTCTGTGCATCTTATACAGCGAATGTTGCTGAAGCCCTGCCCACCCGCCAGCCCACACCCTTCAGGTGTTTTCGGCCTCCGTTACATTTTTGGCCTCTGCGCGTTGCGTTTTTGGCCTCCGCACATCCTGTTTTAGACCCATTCCAGGCTGCAAGGATCACCACAGCACATTGCTGCCGATTGCTGCGTCCGCGCATTGCATTTTCAGCCTCTGTGCGTTATGTTTTTGGCCTCCGCACGTCACCTGGAACTGGCCAAAAACACAGCACGCAGAGGTGGTGATGGGCTGTGGCGATCCCCGCAGCCTGGAACAGCTGATTGATGGTATTCCGGGAGGCCGATCCAACTGCCAATCAGCTGCTTGTGCTGAATCAGGCTGTGATAATGTGCTGAAGCTGACCAGGCTGTTTGCTGTTTGCTTCAAGGATGCTAGCCAGATGAATACTGATGGATGCTGAGAGGCAGAGGCAGATTTTTTTTTTCTTGTGCGTCTTATACTCTGAAAAATATGGTATGTTCATAGATTAACATGTATATACTGTAATTTCAATTTAACACACATTGTAATGAGTATGGCTTCAAAAACACTTTGTTTCTCAACTGTCCTTAATATTTTGCTTTCAGTGTGTTTTTCTGAAACATCTCTTAATACAGTACGGTAAACCCTTGAAAGATTATGAACTCTGGGCTTTATGCCATGAATGTTTGCTCACTTTGGAGACATATACAGATTATCCAGGTATGACCTTTGCTATTTTTTCTTTAACTAATGTATTCTGTTATTTTAATATTTACAACATGCTTCATTTTTTTTTCAATGCTCTCAGTATGGAATTGATACTTTTGAGACATGCATTTTGGCTTCCTGGATATTATTTATCATCTATGCAATGAAAACTTGTAGGAGCCTCAGTTGCAAGAATATTTCACACCTTCCTTTTTGTAGATTGATATATCTTTAAGACATTCTTGAACAAGAATCTTAAACTGTGTGTAATGACACATGAATAATATAGTTAATAATTCATCACATTTCTATTTTATTATTACTATAAAGTCATTGTCTCCATGCCACCAAATACCACAAAGGAATTATAAAGTAAAGGCATGGTTTGGGAGGTTTTAACATAGCTATTTAATATCTTAAGATGCTTATTTCTGTAATAATAACTCAGGTGAGCATCTGTGTGTTCATCTGGCAGGTAAAAATTCCACTCTCAGTACAGATTGTTAATAGGTCCTTCTCTATTTATTTCAGAATTCTGGGCTTGCATGAATGTTCTTAATGCTTGTTTAGCACTTCATAAACTTTGCCAAAGACAATGATCTTATCTGCAGCTTTGGCATTTTGAAGAAATCTACCTTTATGCTTGTTTGTGTTTATTTTTAAACACCAACCTAATATAAGCTTGACAATTGCCTAAGGCACCATATTATATATTGAAATTCCCTGGGGTTTTGGATAACCCGAGCAAGGTGCTAGCCACTACGCAATCAATGACAGTATATCCAACCAGAAGGCAGTGGTGAAATCTAAAATTTGTTACTACCGGTTCTGTGGGTGTGTTTTGGGGGGGGGGTTAATGTGACTGGGTGGGCGTAGCCAATTTTTTTTTTACTTTTAAAACCATTTTTTCTACAACCTCTTCAGCGAAGAGGTTGTAAAAAAATGCTTTCCAAAGGTTCTGACGATCCCAGCTGAGTTGCCTGATCGGCAGAGGCTTTTTTTCTTTTAAATGCCTCTGACAATCAGGCAACTCAGCTTGGATCGTCAGAGGCATTTAAAAGAAAAAAAGCCTCTGCTGATCAGGCAACTCAGCTTGGATTGTCAGAGGCATTTAAAAGAAAAAAAGCCTCTGACGATCAGGCAACTCAGCTGGGATCCTCAGAGCCTTTGGAAAGCATTTTTTTACAACCTCTTCGCTCTGAAGAGGTTGTAGAAAAAATGCTTTTAAAAGGCTTTGACGATCCCAGCTGAGCCGCGCGATCATCAGAGGCTTTTTTTTTATTTTTAAAAGCATTTTTTTCTGCTGAAGAGGTTGTAGAATAAATGCTTTTAAAAGCCTTTGACGATCCCAGCTGAGCCGCGCAATCATCAGAGGCTTTTTTTTTTTACTTTTAAAAGCACTCTTTTGGCCGAAGAGGTTGTAGAAAAAAATACTTTTAAAAGGTTAAAAAAAAGCCTCTGATGATTGTGCGGCTCAGCTGGGCGGGGGGGGGGGCAGGGATTTTTGCTACCGGTTCTCCGAACCACCTGCCTCCATCACTACCGGATCGGGTGATCCGGTCCGAACCAGGAGCATATCACCCCTGCCAGAAGGTCAATGCACCAACATGCCAATTTTGTAGAGCAAAATTACCCTACTCTTTAGGTTTACCTCAAGGGCTGAGTGATTTGGACCATCTTACTTTAACTCCCACATAAACTCAGGATTACAAGAAAATCCTCTAGGTATTAAATAGAGCAGTGTTTCTCAGCAACTTTGAGATGTGTGGACTTCAACTGCCAGAATCCCACAGCCAGCAAAGTGTATCAAGGACACCCTATCTCTCAGTGGCTGCATAAACTTCTAATGGACCTTTGGTCAGGTAACAGTATACTTTAGTCTGTCAGAATTCAACATTTCATAATTTAGTTATTATGTCTTATAACCAAATAATCAAAATAGATGTCAGTGATATTATAAGCCCTGTTAATATTGTTAATGTTATTGTCTATTTTCCAGCATATTTATGTTTGGATTCTGTAGTAATCAACCATGATGGAAGAATTTCTTTTGTTTCATATGGAAATGAAGGTAAATAAATACATGCTGCTGTAAATATTTTTAAGTTTCATTTAATTTGGCTTCAAAAATTAAAAGTGCTATTGCATTTTGTTTTATTTTTAGAATCGTTGGATAGGTTTTACTTGGCTCCTGAGACAGCAGAAGAGGGTTTTGTTACTGAAAAGGTATTAAAAGATATATGAACTTTGTGTTATATTTTAATGAAGATCCATCTTTAAAAAGGGCTATACTCCAAGGCAAATTCTATCCAGATTTATACTATCTGTACGTAGTTCCTTTATATTTCAGGCAGTGGTGGGTTGCCCCCAGTTCGCACTGGTTCTATAGAACTGGTAGTAAAACCAGTGGGAGGCTCCGCCCACTGACCCTGATGTCATCAAAACGCTTCTGCGCTTGCGCAGAAGAGCGTGCGTGCACGGGTCCGTTACAAACCGGTAGTAAAGGTAAGTAGAACCCACCCCTGATTTCAGGATGCTGCAATTTTGTCTGCTTTTTAGTATCCTTTTTGAAAAGTGGAAGTTCTGCCTATAGGCCTTAATTATAAAACACAGAAGATAAATTGCATGCTGTTATGTATGTCTTTGCTATTTGCTGGTAATTTATAAGATTGGTGGTCTTATTTTTCATTCATTCAACTCTCACATATACAGAGAAGAAAAACATAGTTGCAAATAATGTCGTCGTCAAAAACAAGAAATAATTGAGATTTAAAAATCTGTGAAAAGTGGATATGAAGAAGGCCAGTAATGATATGTGAAGGAGTGGAATGGAATGAATGGAATAAAATCGATGCTGAGAAAAAATTAATAAGTCAGTCATAAATTCTGTGGGAATGTTCAAACAATATAGCTACAGATAGACATCTTAAAGAATGTTAAGAGTGAGCTAAATGTCCAGAGATGCGTCTCAGGAATTGGAACCTTAACTTAAAGTAAACAGTAAAGACGATGGACTTTGTCAGATAGGCTAGATCTGTTACCAAAGTGACAAAGAGAAAATTGTGGCTTAAGTCCAAAATAAGCAATGCCTAAGTGGCTCAGACAGATACCTCCCTAATTCATGTGGGTGTAAGAAGAAGGACGAAGTACAGAACAATCACACTTGCATGATTCTGTGTAGCCACTCTCAATACAAAAGTCTTATTTTACCTGTGGAATTGATTTGTGGACTACTTGGTGAGGCTGACATTTACATGATTTGATCTTTATCCTGTTTTTGCCATTTTTTGAGTTGATATACACAGGATTGTTCAGTTGTCTTTGGATCAATCATTGGATATCAAACATCCATATATTCCTCCAGTAATTGGAGAGCTTTTCAAGTATTGATAAGACTGAGCTTCATATAAGGAGCTTCCTTAATGTCAAGCCCTGAAAGGGAAGAGTGCACATTTTCAACTTTATTCCATATTACAATGGCTGAATGATTTATTTGGAGATCAACTCATTAATAGGTGTTTGTGACTTGGTTTGATGATGAAGGAAAGTCCATTATTACACTCACTTGTGTCAGCCTAAGCTATACCTAGAATAGACTTATTTACTTGATCTGAACCCAAAGGTGCTTTTCAAAAGGCAACTGGACTTTGTTTTTCCTTGAAGATGTTTTGCTTCTCACCTAAGAAGAGTCTTCAGTTTTGACATGCTTCTTGGATGAGAAGCAAAACATCTTCAAGGAAAAACAAAAGTCCAGTTGCCTTTTGAAAAAGCATGCTTAGGACAGCCATGACCTGGATGACTGAGACTCTCCATAGATACTTGATCTGAAGCTTGTAATTCATCTGTTGGACAGTTACGGTTTTAACCAACACCCCAGTTTCATGTTGATTTGGATGTTCAACCATGTGTATTTGTTGTGGCCTGTCAACAGCCTGTGCAGCTAGTAGCTGATTCCGACAGTGAGAAGGCTGGTGTGGTGCTGCACCAGCAGCCTGTGCAGCTGGCACTTGAATCAGACAATGAGGAGGATGGAGAAGATGTGGTGCCAGAGGCGGGGATTCAGCCAGGGCCTTCAGAACCTCCAGAAGCTCCCATAAGTGAAGAGGAAGAAGAGGAGGAGCCTCTTCTCGATGCACGAGTGCGCAGAGCTGCCAAAAGGCAGGGGTGGCTCCTCAGGAGGAGGTCTCCTCGAGAGTAAGGCTTGGGGCTAATTGGCCACTCCCCTAGCCTATTTGAGGAAGGATGACGACTGATGCAATTTGCAGGAAACAACTTCGTTCATATTCCTTCGTGTCTTGATTTCAGAAACGTTTTGATCGGCTCTTGCTTCCTTATCAGTTTTCCTGCAAATTGCTTCTGGGCATTCTGCCAACCACAGTAAGATGATGGTTATCTGAAATACTGTGCCTCAGAATTGAGTTATTATTCTTTGGAGTCTTGTCGGCTGTTTAATGAAGTTAAATTAACAGCCCTTGTTCAGAAAAGACTGGTTTAAACTGTACTTGTGTTCAAACAACTACTAAGAAAGCTCATTACTAGTCCTTAATTAGTAAACTAAGGTTTGTATGGACTTTGTGTGTGCTGCATTCTTTGGGGTCTGTAGCTGGGGCAGAACAGTATTCAAGAACAAGGAGAAAATAAAGTGAGGCTTGCTAGGTGACTAAGCTGCCTTTTCACGGTGCCATTTCCCACAGGCCTGTATTTACTGTATAGCTGCAATTTTGTGGAGAGCAGCAAGAAGCAATTTTCCACCTGATCACAAATTGGTGTTGCCAGGGAAACTGAAACATTTTCTTCTGAATATGGCAAGAAGCAAGCCAGAAGACCGCCCTTCTTTAGCAGATGCAATTAAGGTGAATTAAATTCAGCCATTTAATTTTCATTTCTATTTCAATAGACCAGCTTAAGTAGCAAATAAAATTTTCTATTGGGTTGTAATCCATCCAATTTGTGTGGTTGCCCTAATGCAGTGTTTCTCAACCTTGGCCACTGGACGATGTGTGGACTTCAACTCCCAGAGCTGGCTGGGGAATTCTGAGAGTTGAAGTCCACACATTGTCCAGCGGCCAAGGTTGAGAAACACTGCCCTAATGGCTATTTTCAACACACCTTCATGGGATTTTATTAATTTTGAGCAACTTTGACTTAATTGTAATAAAGTTTCTCCATGAATTCAAATTATTTTGAAAATGCCTAGTTTTTTTTTTAAATACACACCTCCTCTCTCTTAGTGTCTGTAATTCAACATGAAATTTCATATTTCTAGATTTGTCGTAGTTATCTGCTTGAACAAAATATCAGCAGCAGGATGATTCTAGAAGTTTTAGCAAACGTGGCGTTTCAGGTATGCATTTTTGGTGGGGGGTGCATGTGTCTACATTTTATTCCAGTAAAGTTCAGTCTATTCAGACTAAAATTAACTTTGCTTCATGCATTCTTTTAATCTCATTTCGGTTCAGTACCACGGTTTTAATAATCCATATGCAAGTTTTGTTTAAATAAACCACAGAATAATTAAACTGTTTTCAAGACTTATTTTAAAAGTCTTCTTATAGACCATAATTGTAGAAACCATTCACATTTCCACTACCTTATCTTAACAATGATTCCAAATTACAGAATCCAAATGCTATAAAAACATGAACGTCACATGTTTGTGTTCTAAAATATCTAAACTCTATTTGGACTTTAGAGTATGGCTCAGTAATGACCATTACTCCAACAGGTATAATATTGTAATTACAATAAAGTGCCATAAATAGCACCACAGCTTCAGGTCAGATATTAGATTTGAAGGTGATTTGACCACTGAATTGAATTGAATCAAATATTTGAATTGACTTGAAAAAAATCAGTGAATTTCTGTGCATGCAGATATACATTTTATTCTACTGTAACTTTGATAGATTTGATTCAACTTTTTAAACACTGCATTATCACACTGCACATTCAGATCATATTGAGTGTTCAAATCAAATCACAAACTAGATCTTGGCTGATTTGCACACTCATAATAAATTCAGCCTTTCCTTATCATTCTTGCTCTTACCTTATTCTAGGCCAATGAAGGAATAACTATATACAGTATCTTGTGAGGCAGGCTATATATTCTAAACATTTTATAAACTGGCTTTTCTGAGAGAGTCCAAAGCAGTATATGAGGTGTATCCCTTAATTTCATTTCCTCGGCAAAAACTCTGTGGGAGAGAATGAGTGGAAAATTTGAGAGCCATACTTTAAGCATGCCAACATTTTAATCATTAGCAAATATACTCAGAGCATATATTTGGAATTCAATATCTTCAGGCGTCTCCAGTGGGAAAGAATAGAATTCACTACAATCCTAAAGGCACATAAGGCTCTATCTTGTTCAAATAATCTTTAAGAAAAAGACTCTAATGCAGGGGTGTCCAATCTTGACAACTGTAAGATCTGTGGATTTAAACTCCTAAAATTTCCCAGGTGGCTGGGGAATTCTGGGAGTTGAAGTCCACAAGTCTTAAAGTTGCCAAGCTGCTTTAATGGCTTGTATCTTTCCTGTTAAAATTACATCCTTCATAAAAATGGCAATATTGTGGTGCGAGAGGAGGAACACGGTGAGCAAGTCCCACGCTCCCTCCCCCTATTTTGCTGTTGCTATGGCACCAGAACTGAAGTAGGCGAGAATATGAATATGTATGTATGTATGTATGTATGTATGTATGTATGTATGTATATTCCTTCCGTCCTTCCTTCGATAGTTTTATGGTGACCTTGGACCTTTTCAAAGGCCATTTGGACTGCCAATTGATTCAAGCAACAGAAAATAAGTATTCCAGTAACCTAACATTTTTTGTTCCTATAACTTGATTTTTCTTTCCCTCTGCTTTGGGGAAAACTAACTTAACTTCTTTATTATTATTTTTTTTAATGCATTGGGATCTTTGAGGTGAAAGAGGTTAAAAGCAGCCCGTACAAAATCTAGATAATAGTACAGAGGAGCTTCAACTATCATTCACAATAGGAAAACCATTCTAAATAGCCTAGATTTAGAACTGGCATTTAGCTCCAGGACTTCCTTCTATCTTTTATTCTTCTGACTTCCTTGAAATTGGAAGTATAAAGAATTTAGGCCCTTAGGCAGAGAAGAGGAAACATTTCTATTTCTTTCGGTGTTGGGGGTGTGTGTGTGTGCCTGCAATTGTGGGCATGGATGCTGAAAACAGTATTTCTAAGACTTGACTTTTCTCATCCTTCATTATTCTGCTGATAGGACTTCAGAGGAGAGGATTCTTTTAATGTTAGCTGGCCTTTTCAAACTGAAAGTTGCTCGGGAAATGCTAACTTAGGTGAGTATTTTATTCTAAATACCTTGCTGTTCCTGATTCCTTTTTAATAAGAAAAATCTAAGTATAGGTGGCCAAACATGTTGGAGACTTCTTCTTCTTTTTTTTTTTTTTGTGGTCAACTGATGTTCACTTTTCTTTAAACCGCGTGCATCTTTCTCTTGTTAATTGTGTTCCCACTTTCAGGATTTTTGCCTATGAGCAATGAAAGTAAACTGATAGCAGTCAAAGGACCGGTTCCTTGCCAGTCACCTTTAAACAGAGAAAGGATCACGTTACCAAATGCCTTCACTTCTTCAGCAACTCATTTTAAGCCTATTATTCTGCATCAGAAGGCAAATGATAAAATGTAAGTCTGGTTGTGTGTTGTCCAGGCAATGATTAATTCTATGGAGTGGGAGGCAAGTTAACATTTATTATATACTATGAATACCATCTTTTGCACTGGGATGAAGCATCCTAAAGATCTTCTGATTTTTGCAGAGAGAAACAAATTTAAAAATTTAAATTTAAACAAATTCCCCCCTCCCCCATGGGTCTGTTCCTTTATTCCTAGTTTTATCAACAGAGAAGTTTGGATGTTTTCAGTGCTGTCTTTAATTTGCCACAATTGAGTCTGGTTAATTTTAATGACAGTTCCTTTCAAACAAATCCACTTCAAATCATGCTAAAAGAATATAAGTTTACAAAATAAAATAAAATTCATTTAACACATTATGCTGCAATATATTATATGTAAATCAGGTCATTTAGAATGCTGTGCATTACATTCTTTAATCATATTTTTCTTAACAGCAAAAAAAACCAACAACATTTAGCAGGGAAAAAAAGTAAACACCAGTTTTCGGCACAAATGTTGTAGAGCATGTGACCTTAGGGAGCTGCAAATGGTTGTAAATGCAGGCCGGTTGTTGGGTGCCAAAAATGTGGTCATGTGACCATGGAGGGACAGCTATTGGAACTTCAGAACTGGGTCATAAGTATCGTTTAGGTTATCTGTAATAACTTCGAATAGTTGCTAAGTGACTAGTTGTAAGTTGAGGACTACCTGCTATATGAACTTAACAAGTGAATATTTTTATTCTCCTACATTTATCCTAACACTTGGGAAACTGCAGCAAAATGTCAAGAACATTCCTGCCCTGAACTCTACGCCAGAATCTCCCAACCTTTCTGGGTTGGCGGCCTGGAGAGGGGGGAAAAGAGGGGATGGTTTTGTGGGAGGGGCAGGCACATGCGTGAGTGGGAGCACGAGTGCCTGTGATGCTCATGCGAACGGGACTGCAAGTATCCGCCATGCGAGTGAAGCCCTGAGCACCCGTGATGCTTGTGCGAGTGGGGCCACAAGTGCCCACAACACTCGCGCGAGTGGGACCACAAGTGTCCACGATGCTCACATGAATGGGTCTGTGAACAAACACATGTGCACCAACCAGTTGTAAATAGGCCACGAACTGGTAGTGGGATGTGTCCCACAGATTGCGGACCCCTACTCTACACAACCTTTTTTATTGGGGATTTTTTTTCTCCCCAGAACTTTCTTTAACTTTACACTGCTGTCCTGAAGCTCTGATTGGGGCTGGCTGGCAACCATGAGCCTATACAGGTAGTCCTTGACTTACAACCACCAATGAGACCAACATTTCTGTTGCTAAGTTACACATTTGTAAAGTGAGTTTTGCTCCATTTTGCGACCTTTCTTGCCACAGTTGTTAAGTGAATCACTGCAGTTGTTTAAGTTAGTGACACACATGAATCTGGCTCCCTCGTTGACATTGCTTGTCAGAAGGTCCCAAAAGGTGATCACATGACCCCAGGACACTGGAACCGTCATAAATATGAGTCAGTTGCCAAGCATCTGAATTTTGATCACGTGACCATGAGGATGCTGCAATAGGTGCAAAAAATGATCATGAGCTACTTTTTTCAGTGTCGTTGTAACTTTGAATGGTCACTAAATGAGTTGTTGTAAATCGAGGACTACCTGTATTTGTTGCTGTTTAGTTTTCTCTTCAACAAGAGAAGTTAAACATCTGAACTCCTAGTATAGTGTACGAGACAGTGGTGAAATTCAATTTTTTTTATTACCAGTTCTGTGGGCGTGGCTCGGTGGGTGTGGTGTGGCTTGGTCGGCGTGGCTGGGGAAGGATACTGCAAAATCTCCATTTCCACCCCACTCCAGGGGGAGGATACTGCAAAATCCCTAATCCCACCCCACTCTGGGACCAGCCAGAGGTGGTATTTGCCAATTCTCTGAACTACTCAAAATTTCCGCTACCGGTTCTCTAGAACCTGTCAGAACCTGCTGGATTTCACTCTTGGTATGAGATATATGAATGTTTTCGTATCATGTGTTCTTTTAATTTGCAAAGTTACATGCTTCTGGATATCTAGAATAGACCTTCATTACCCATAAACCACTACTGTTTTGTTTCACATTTGTTTCACCACTATTGACTTTTCACCCCGATAAGCTTTCAGCTCTTGAAATTGCTTTAGCATTTAGTAGTATTACTACCATTAATAGATAGATAGTTGGTGTGAAAAATCACATTGATATAACTGTCCCAGAACCTTGTAGTAGAATAAAGCAGCTACCTTGACAAAGTAAATCTTATACCATATCATCTTCTTACTTTCCAGAGATGCCATTGCAACCCCCGTGGTAGACTGTGAAACTATGACAAGAGTAGCATCTGTGAGTAGCAGAAGTCCAAAACCTTCAATTAATGACAATGAAAATAAGACAGATGAGATTTCAAATTTGTCTCCTACCTGTATGATGCCTCGTGTTCTGGAACAGAATGAAGAAGAACCAAAAATATTACAACCGAAGGATTCCGAGGAGCAATCTCCAAGCAATACCAGTTCCTCTGACCCTAACTTACCACTTTCTGACTCTTTATATGTGTCTCAAGAGAAATGCACTTTGGAAACATCTCCCTCGGCTAATCCCGACTCTACTGTCCCATCTAGTATGACTTTTGTAAATAATTTTTTTTTAAAACAGGACCCAGAGACAAGGGTGCTGACCCTTGTACCCGTGCAGATAGCTATATCGGAACAAATACCCAATAAACCCCTCCATTCAAAAGCAACTTACAGCTGTTGTCCGAGTTTACATCTGCTCCTTTCAGAACCTCCAATGACCTATGATGCTAATGGAGCCTTACAAACCAATTCATCCTTAAGTAATGCAATTAAAGATCAATTTGGTGATGTACAAAATAAACGTTGGGACATCAAAGCAAAGATGGGTGATTTGATGCCAACGACAATTAATAAAGAGACTCAAACCAAGCGCTATGAAAGTAATCCGTGCCTTGTATCCTGTAAGGAAGCCAATACAGATGCAGAGGGTAGATTCCTTTTATCAGATCATGCCCAGGATACCTCGCTCGATCAAAATTCTACTGGTTCACTCGTCTTAGAAAGTTCTCAGCAGAATAAAGGAACGCAGAATATTGCCTTGGAGAGCCTTGTGCAACTTATACAACAAGAGTTTGCATTTGATAAATCTCAGGACATTACTGAAGCCCTGGCTATAGGTAGGCTTTAATATTTTCATACCAGATTGCAAATACTAAAGAAAATAAGAAGCTAAATAAGACATGTCAATAAAGAATGTTGTAATTTAGACAGGGGTTTGTGTGTTTTTTACAGTTATCAGATGGATACCTCAAAAAACTTTGCTATGTGTTTTTAGTATGCAAGTCGCATATATAGGATAAAAATCTTGGCCTCTGCAGTTTTTGTTTGACTTGCTGTTGTTTTTATTGTCTTCCTAGGAATAAGACTTTTTTTTATTTTCAACCAACACTGGAAAGAAATAGGAGTATGGGGAGGGGAGAAATAAACCCTAATAAGCTAACCATTTATTTATTTTTTTACATAACCCACTATTTTTTTATTTAATTCAGGCAAATATATTTTCACTTTAAAGGATCTCCAATACAATACATTCTGTAATGCAGTTTCTGAGAAATTTTGTGGACTTTACTGGGAAGAAAAATTGCTGGCAAATCTTTATGATGCAGCGAACGGTAGAACTCCTGTACCTGAAAGGCAAGTGATGCTTGCGTTTTACCTTTTATCACCAATTTTGCTTTTGCTTATCTTACTGTTCCGTTTGCCGTTTTAACTCCTCCGCCATTCCCAGCACCCATCTATCCAAATGGACTTTTGAATATATATATTGGCTACTGTTTTCACTGGCAGTTCAGAATGGACATCGGACGAATGTCTGGTTGCAATCTGGCGTGTGTCATTTGTTATGTCCCTGTTAGGGACGAACAGACTTAGGCAAGACAGGTTGAGGTAAAAGCTAACAGGATTTATTTCACTAACATTGTTCTAACAGGTTTACTAGCATTGCGACCAGCACTTGCTGCTCGGCTAACAGGAGCAGCAGCTCTCAGCCTTTGACAGCTCCTTATATACTCGTGCCTGAATTGAAACAGCCAATCAGAGCTACATCTGTAGACTGGAGGGGAGCCTGGATACAGCATCATTATTCTGAATTCCTACACTTTTCACAACCGTGTCAGTACCATAATCCCTAAACACCAGCCCAACGTTTAATCTTTGTGATTAAAAAAAGAAGAACAAATACTTGAGAAAGTCATTGAGTAGGCAATGTACTGCAGGATTTAAGAATTGTGTAGGAGCCTAAATTGATAGGCACATCTGTATAGGCATGAACATGAATACACGGACGTAAACATAAAGAGGCTCGGGAGAGACTATAAAACACTCAGTTGTGAGCATAAACTGCTTTGCAATCAAACTGGAATCTCTTTTGTTCCAGCTATGCAGCATGTTCTCTGGAGACTAGTTAGATACAAATATATTAACTCCAAAACTTCATTGAGCACATAATAAAGTTGTCTAGCTTTTTAATTTCAGCATTAAGTGCAAGACAGACTCAAACCATATGGTTGGGGTTTTTTTTAAAAAAAAAATAACAGTTTATATCACAAACGCCTGGTTTTTTTGGCAGTGTTTCTCATGACTAATTTGGTGGATGGTGACAAAGAACATCCTTGCATGTCTGTTCTCTGATTAAGTCTCCAAATGGTTCATTAGCTTATATATGCCAAATATTGTCTACATACAGGGCAACTTTAGAGACCCGAAAAGACGGGAAGAGTTAAATTGTTTGTATTGCATATATTGTTTATCAAAAGGTCAGGATAGAATATTAGAGGGGTTGCTGTCAATCAATCGGCTGGATACTTCTTAACATAGATTTCTATGCCGAAGAATTGTTGGTGTTGAAGATCAATATGTGTGACATGGTTGTTGTTAGGTCAAATGGCGTCATTTTCCCCTCCATGAATATAGAGCAAACTTCGGAATACCACTCATCTTCCTCCGTTTCCCCATTTTTCTCTATCTTGTAAGGACAATTAGGCATTTTCCCCATATTTTATTTTAATTTGTCATTGAGATTTCTCACCTCAAGACTATACCTGAGTAATACCTGGATTTTTTAACAAAATTATTTAAACCCCAAGATAAAGTTTCTAAAAGCCAAACCCAAAATAATGTTTTTTTGTTTTAACACCAACGTTTTCAAAGCAATGAAGGAAGAATACAGTAGGAAGATTAAGACGGTAAAAAAACATGTACAGACTTACAAGTAGTCACTTAGCAACTGTTTGAAGTTTCAACTTACATGACTTACAACCTAGATCTGAAATTCTCACATACACATAATCACACTTTGGGCGCTTGGCAACAAGGCCACATTAGCAACTGTTTGCAGAGTCCTGCGGTCATGTGATCACATTTTAGGATGGCTTTGCTGAAAACCAACACTTCTGCTTTTTGTCAAAACCATGCCCAGAGCAAATCAGTGATTTGCTTAACAACGGTGGTGTTTATTTAATGACAGTTGCAAACTGAATCATAAGATTCTCCCCTGTTTTAAAATTCTTTTAAATCGAAATTTTAATCTGTTTTAAATTATTGGGATTTTTAATTGTCTCAGGCTAAATTATTTAATCTGGTTTTAATTATGTTTCTAACTTTTGTATCTATGTATTTTATTTTGTGCCTGTTCACCGCCCTGAGTCCTTCGGGAGTAGGCCGGTATATAAATTTAATAAAAACAAACAGAACAAAACAAGATAGGTTTTATAACTATTATGATTTACAACTATAATGGGCAGGCTTCATTACGGTCATAATTTGAGGACTATCTGTAAATAAACAGAAGGGTTAGGCAGTAAAAGGTAATTTCTGGCATGTGTCTCAGCTATATACATATTATGGAACAAGACTTTGCTTACAGGTGTGCTAGAAATAGTGCAGTGTTTGATGCACATGTTACATAGCTTATATACTTCCTCAGACTTCTTTCCACCATATGTTATTAATGTTCAAAATGACTTTCTGAATGCTGCTGACTTCTATTTTCATTTAGGACATTTGTGTTGCAATTCTGCTCTGACAAGAAAGTAAGGGGAGACTTCAGAAAACATGAAAGCTGAATAATGACTGGGAATTTCTTTGGCGCAACCATTTGGGAGTAGCAAGTGTAGCGCAAAAGGCAAACTCATTTTACTTTGGATTACTGCTACCTTCCCAAATATAGTGAAGAAAGTAGCTAGATCAGGGAACAGATAAATATTTGAAAGCGTGGATCAACATAAAGATAGGCTGGGGTTTTTTTTCTCTTTAATAGCCTTGTAGTAAAGGTGCCTGGAGAGAACAGGTGGCAAAATTGGCCACATGCATTTAAAGTTTTATCATTCACAGCTTGATGAGATTCTACCTGTTTAATGTTTTATCTGAGCCTTGGCTATCCACCTTATGAGACTTGTTCCACTGGAGAAAGCCCCATGTATTTTAAATGTCTAAAAGCTTTGAAGCTTTTTCATTTTTGACTGAAATGCACTCATACAGTACACCTGGAGGAAGATGCAAATACTTTAGCTAATCTTTGAAGTTTTCCACCTCCCAAAGTATTTCATTTATGAATATGTATTCAGATGTTCATCTCTTGCACTCTCCCTCATTTTCAGAATTAATGAACCACAATATTTGAGCAAGACTTTCCAAAGCAAACCAAATACCTTTCTGAGTGAGAATGAGGAAGCAAAAGGTATGAAATAGTTAGTGGGCATGCCTTACATCCAATGATACTAATGTCTACAAACCTGCAGCAGTTAAGCTATGAAGTAATAACCTTTATGACCTACTAGATATAAGGAGAAGAAGAGCAATGGGGATTTTCAAGTAAAGATTTATATCCTTGGAAAACTGGCTCAGAAGTGAGCCTGCTGGAGAAGGTTGTGCTAATGTTATTACTGTGTTGTGCACAGCCATCAGATTTAAGATTTAGCTTTTCTTTAGTTGAAGTGCCATATATCTCAGGTCATTTAAATTCATGATGCTTCTAATGCTTCTCCTCATGAGATGAAAGAGTCTAATATATAGTAATCCTGACTTCAATGTGGTTTGACCTAAAACAGTAAAGTATTATATATATTGATCAGAATGATGTTCAATTATGGATCTCTTCAGCTATCCAGATTAACAGTCGAGGTTCTTCTGAAGATACCCCTGTTGCCGAAAGTTTGACTAACTAGAATGTATGGTCAAGTAGAGTCTGTCTTCTGTCTTCACACAGCACAAGCAGATAGAAGAAAAGCCATAATACTCGTTATATTTGAGGTCATGGGAAGAAAGCTGATCTTTAGATAGGGAATTGGCCTATAAAAATGTTAATTTACTAATGCTATTAAACATAGCAAATATTATTCCTAAATCTTCTTAGGACAATTGGCTTGAAAACAAACAACCACTACTTAACTAATGTAAGGTATTAGAGTTTCCATTCTTTGCTCTTTTCCATACAAACGCAGATCATATTGCTGGTATGGATTCAGATGAGAAGGAAGTTGAATCACAAACTCCCCTAGTTGGAATACAGACAGAGGGAGAATGTTTGCTGACCGAAAAATGTTGCAGTGGGCCAAGTGTTACAGAAACAGAACAAAAGCAAGAAGAAATCCAAGGAAGGATGGAAGAAGATACGTGCGCCAGCTCTTCCTTGCCTTCTGATTTGCCTGGATTTTGTCCTGGTTGGAGCAGCGCATTCTATGGTTCAGAATGGTTCAGTCTAGATGTACACAATTATTTTAGAAAACTTGGAAAACGAAAAGCTCATGGGACACAAAATATTGATGCTAAAAAAATGGTAAGTCATCCTGTTTTCTCAAAACTGAAAAACTATGTGTTCACTTTGAGTAGAATGTGATATAGAGCAATACATTAGAGGGAGTCATGGTTATGGATTTTGGATGCATTCTGTAAGTTAGCCCATTTGAGGTACCTTGGTTCAGAAATTGTTGCCTTATTATTATTATTATTATTATTATTATTATTATTATTATTATTATTTCAATTTATATACCGCCCTTCTCCTATTGGACTCAGGGCGGTGCACAGCCAAGGATAAAAAACATACAAAACATACAAAATTTAAAATCAATTAAAAGAATTATACAGCTTTGGCCCACAATTTAAAACAATCCAATTAAAACCCAATTTACACTTAAAAAGCTAAAAAGAGTTAAAAGGGGGGGGGGGTTCACGCCAGCCCTGCTTGATAGAAAAGAAAAGTTTTTAGGGCACGGCAAAAGGCCCGGAGATCTGGTATCCTTCATATCTCCAGGGGCAAATCGTTCCAGAGGGCAGGTGCTGCCACAGAGAAGGCCCTCCCCCTGGGGGTCGCTAGCCAACATTGCCTGGCTGACGGCACCCTAAGGAGCCCCTCTCTGTGGGAGCGTACTGGTCTGTGGGAGGCTATTGGCGGCAGAAGGCGGTCTCGCAAATACCCAGGTCCGATGCCATGGAGCGCTTTAAAGGTGGTGACCAACACCTTGTGGTCACCTATGAATGCACTGTTTTGCCCAGTTAAAGAAAGAGAGTTTTAGTAATATACGGATAAAACCAGTTCATTTGCCATCTGGTGTTTTTATCAGAGAAATTACCATTGTAACCCTCAAGAATCTCTACCTTCAGGAAGAAGTTTGTTAAGCAGGCAAGAGATGGCCTTTATTAAAAACCCATGTTGAACTGTACTTAAGTTTTTTTTTCCTAACACAAAGAGAAACTGTTTGGGTTTGGATTATTGGATTCCTATTATTACTTTTACTAAATATTTTTCAATATGCAGTTAAACCACCACCACCTCCTCTTCTTCCTCCTCATAACTTCAAAATTACTGAAATGGAAACTATAATCCCGATGGATTTATTGTCTATTGCAATAAATTGGTGATCCCAAAAGAAACTATGTATTTCGCCATCTCAGATGAATATTTAAAAAGGATTGGATGTATTTCCTTATATATATATATTCATGTTGTTTTCACATGCAAATCTTTGTTGCAGTGGTGTAAATGTATTGTTGATCAGGGCTGTGTAAATCAAGTAAAGTCAGATTCAAAACATCAGTTTGATTTGTCATCTTGAATTGATTTGGAATTTTGATATGATTTGGTTCAGAAATTCCAATTAAATTGTCAAATCAGGTAGATTTTATTCATATTTCTGTAAAGGATAAAACATTTTCTGTTCATGCGCAGGAGTATCCAAACATTTCTAATCCACTGAGAAGCATTCTGAATTTACCGGTATTTTCAATTTAGAAAACAGATTTGATTTAGAGGTTCACTTGAACTGATTGAATTGGCTCTCCCAATCAAATATTTACAAAGCCCTAGGCAAGAATGATTTTCCAAACGTCAGTAGGGCTAGTTAATATTTATATAGAATATAAATTCATTCTTAAGGAACTCTCAGAATTTTTATTAAGCTTTTAGTTTTCAAAGAGGAGAAAAAAGATAATAACTAATATTGTACTTTAGGCAAAAGGCACTCAGGAAAACAAGAAGTAAAATATGTGTGAGCAACCAGTTTGTATATCTCATAATAGAAAACTGGGATATAAATGATTTTAATAACACAACAAAGATGTTGAGCCATGTAACTGGCACCTGATTGTCTCTCAATATCTTTATAGTTATTTTTATTTACTTCTTGATTTTCCTGTCAGAGCAGTTAAAACATCAGTTTTTCAGTATTCTGAAGGTGGATGAGTAACTGAAATGTTAAATAATCTTGGTGAAGAAACATTAACATATTAACATTTCATTTACTCATGTATTTCTTAAGTTCTTCACATAAAATGCAGAGATAGGCTAAAATAAGTCTGACTTACCAGTTTAATTATATTACTTCAGACAGAATGGTCAGATGTTGGAGAGCTTATATGAAACTGTTGAGAGACGACCCTCACTCTGTCAAAGACCTTGTAGTACTCATCTCAAACGATCTAAGTGCCAGAGCTCACTGTAACAGCATTGCCAAAAAGGCATTAAGAGTTGTTAACCTAATCTTGCGTAGTTTCTTCTCCGGTAATATTGTACTGCAAACTAGGGCATACAAAACTTTTGCTAGACCAATTCTTGAATACAGCTCATCTGTCTGGAACCTGCACTGCATATCGGACATTAATACAATCGAACGAGTAAGGGGCGTCCATAAGCGCACCAGCATGCCTACCGTCCCTGTCCTAATGTTCCTTTTTATTCATATCCATTTCATGTATTCATAATCATGTTTATACTTATATCTGTTATCTAATATACGCTTGATGAAATAAATAAATAAATAAATAAAATAAATAAATAAATAAGTAAGTAAGTAAGTAAGTAAGTAAATAAATAAGTAAGTAAGTAAGTAAGTAAGTAAATAAATAAGTAGGTAAGTAAGTACATTATGGCTTCTTATACCTTCTATCTTCCCTTTCACATGTTGCACTGGATATGATCTAGAACAGGCGTGTCCAATCCACAGCTCACAAGCCACACACAGTCCTGGCAGCTAGTAATGGGACACCACAAGGCCATAAACTTTTATATATGGTATATTTTATATGCTACCCAAGACAATTCCTCTTCACTCAGTGTAGTCCAGGCAAACCAAAAGGTTAGACATCTAGAGGTTGCTGAAACAGAATATGGAGGATCACATCTTCACTTGGAACAAATCATAAATGATATCCTCGATTGGCTAGGAACTGGGAAGATCTAATATGAAGCATAGCACTAGAAATAGCATTTAGACTTATATACCGCTTCACACTGCTTTACAGCCCTCTTTAAGCGGTTCACAGAGTCAGTATTTTTCTCCCAACAATCTGGGGCCTCATTTTACCAACCTCGGAAGGATGAAAGGCTGAATGAACCCTGAGCCCTGTCAGTATCGAACTCTAGGTTGTGGGCAGAGTTTGCTTACAATACTGTATTCTAACCACTGCCACCACAGCAAGAAGCATTATTATTAAATATCCTTGATCAACATGCTCTTAGATTGGTTTTTATGCTACTCAGCTTCCCTTATCAGAAGTCTGCAGAGAAATGGCATCACTTTCATTTTGTTCTGCTTCTTCCACCAGGAACTTGACCAGCTGATAATGATTGAGACAAAAAGTTACAGAAAGAGCATAACCTTCTACCAGAGGCTGTTGTATAAAGAGAGAAGCAGCAAAGGTATATTTGGGGAATGAAATGTTAACAACTGTCTTATAGCAATTGTTCATCTGTGCTGATGCAACCTGGTCCTGATTGCACTTTTCAAATCTTGAGGTGGAGAAATAAAAGCTTTGTTGCCAAAGCTGGAGAGACAGATAGAAGAAATGAAAGCAAAGATACGGTTTCTTGAGCTTGTGAAGAAGTATCTCCAGGTAACTATGTGAGTTTTCAAAAATTGGGTGTGGACGTATCAGGGAATGCCCAGGCTCCCATGCATTGACACCAGAGGTGGGTTTCAGCAGGTTCTGACCAGTTCGGGAGAACCGGTAGCGGAAATTTTGAGTAGTTCAGAGAACCGGTAGTAAAAATTCTGATTGGCCCCACCCTATCTATTCTCTGCCTCCCAAGTCCCAGCTGATCGGGAAGAAATGGGGATTTTGCAGTATCGTCCTGGATTGGGGAGGGAATGGAGATTTTACACTATCCTTCCTCTGGAGTGGGGTGGGAATGGAGATTTTACAGTATCTTTCCCTTGCCATGCCCACCAAGCCAGGTCCACCAAGCCATGCCATGCCCACCAAGCCACACCCACAAAACCGGTAGTAAAAAATTTTGAAACCCACCACTGATTGACACGCTATTCAGGTGACAACTGCAGTTGTCCAAAATAATTGCTCTAATTAGCTAAAGCTGCAAAGTTGGAGTCTTACTCATCTACACTATTTCTCTCTCTTTGTAAGAGAGCCATTCAAACAGACCACATACTAATGAAAGTCATTATGAAGTACAGGTGGTATTTTTGTGACGTCTGTGGAACACTGTTTGTATTTCCTGATGCCATCCATTGTTTTGTGTGGGAAGCAGTTTTGCCGTGCCACAGTATTCATTCAGTAAAAATTATTCAAATTTGAAGTACACGGCAAAATAAATCAAGCACCTTTAACAATCCTATTAAGCTAACGACTAATTTGTTGTGGATATCCCTATCCATTTTAAAGGCACTTATCTTTCGAACCCCACTTTGATTTCTGGTTTTTGGACACACACAAAACTGACTTGGGATGGCTATCGTCAGGACCAGAGTGCTAAAATATAGTTCAGAGTGATGTGCTCGTGTGTAGTACTGGGGAGGCCACAAAATCAGCCTTGCCAAGAAAATGTATATTATATATTGGGATCTCTGTTGCTTCACAAAGCAATTATTGGATACCTAGGAAAAGTTCCAAGAAACAATGCAAAACAAAGCAACACAGGAGCTTCACTTCACTTTTTAGAATGGGAGCTGTGTTGTTTCACAAAGCATCTTTGAAGCATTCCTGGGTTATCTGTCACAACAATGGAGAATCTCTGGTTCATTGGGAGGTGTGGATTCTTATCTCCCTAACCAGCCCAATCAATGGTTATGATAGTGACAGCGCAACTTTAGCAACATTAAGAAACCAAACATTTCTGCCATGATTTCCTACCTTAATAAAGAACTACTCCAGATCTTTGCTGAAACTCTGCAGGTGTAGCATAGCTTGAGCACACAATTTGTGTGCGTTAAATCATATATGCGAGTCAATCTAGTGTCATGGTTAAGGCATTGGGTTAGAAACTGGGAGACTGTGAGTTCTAGTTCAGCCTGAAGCACAAAGCCAGTTGGGTAACCTTGTGCCGATCATTCTCTCTCAGTCCTAAGAAGGAGGCAAGCGCAAACCACTTCACCTCTTGCCAAGAAAACTGCAGGAACTAGTCCAGGTAGTTGGCAAGTGTCAAAAGTTGACTTGAACACCACCACCCCTACTTATTAGTACTGCAGTTCCCCCTTCTAACTGTTAGAAATCCTGTATATAGTCCTACAGAACAGTGCACAGTCCACATGTGCTTTTCTGCTTAACTGTAGAAGGAAACAGGAAACCTTTATACAGAGAAAAGACCTAGAACAGGGGTGTCAAATCTGCGATGACATGCCATCATGTGATGTATCACAACTTTCCCCCCTTTGTTAAACTGGGGGGGGGGCAGTGCGTGACACATCTGGCCCACGGGCCATGAGTTTGACACCTGTGACCTAGGGTATACCATAGATGCAACTACAAAATTATAAACACTGCCATCTACTGGTTGAAGAATATACTGCTGCAGTTGTTGTATAAAATACATGAACACTATTCCAACACTTACCCCACATCTTTTGGAAGCATTTTTTTTCCTCTGTATCTTTTCTGTTTGTTTTTTTCTTGTCTCCTTTTGCTGCAGATTATGTATGCAGAAAAATGGGGTGTTGAACCATGCAACTTTCTTACAGTGGTTAATATGGGACAAAATGAAATGCTGGACATCAGTGCCTTAGATGGCATGCTACTTTTTTATCACATAAACAAAACTCCAAGTGAAGCTCAGTATAATGACAATCAAAATTGCCTAAGAAATCTTCAAGCTGGAACTCCACTTGGATTAATGGCATATCTGTATTCTAGGTACAGCCTCTTATACAATTCTACCAGAAATTATAGTACAATAAAATTGAGTATCAATTCTAATCTTAAAACACTTCATGTTTTCCCCAGAAAAATCAGAAAATGTGATATTGGTCCATCTAGCTTGGTGTTGCTTCATTAGGTACAGCAGTTTTATAGGACTTTTCCAGTTTTCCTATTTGTGGAAATATAGCAATAGCACTTACTTATATACCACTTTACAGTGCTTTACAGCCCTCTATAAGCAGTTTACAAAGGCAGCCTATTGCCCCCCAACAATCTGGGTCCTCATTTTACCGACCTCGGAAGGATGGAAGGCTGAGTCAACCCTGAGCCAGTAAGGATCGAACCCCTGGCAGTAAGCAGAGTCAGCCTGCAATATTGCATTCTAAACCACTGCGCCACCATGGCTCCTTGGGAGGGTATGCTTGTTAGGAGGGTAAATGGAGAAAATTCAGTTAAAGGAGTTGTTAGGTTAGAAGACCTTTTTTCTTTCATTTTTCAGTAATGGGAAATGATTTCCATTCATTCTGGAGCTGGGATCAAAAGTTTTCAAGATATTTAGGTCTTCTTATCCCAAATTAATTGCTATATAAATAAAGGCATTACTGTATTCCTGAATATACAGGTAGTCCTCGACCCAAAAGTGCTTTTTCAAGAGGCAACTGGACTTTCGGGTTTTTCTTTGAAGGCATTTCACTTGTCATCCAAGAAGCTTCTTCAACTCTGGATGAGAGCTTCTTGGATGAGAAGCGAAAGGTCTTCAAAGAAAAACCAGAAAGTCCAGCTGCCCTTTGAAAAAGCACCTGTGGGACAACCATGACCTGGATGACGAAGAATCTCCAGAGACAGGTAGTCCTCGACTTATATCCATTCATTTAGCAACCATTCAAAATTACAATGGCACTGAAAAAAGTAATTTACAACCAGTCCATGCACTTACAACCATTGCAGCATCCCCATTGTCACGTGATCAAAGCAAAATTAATGGGGGGGGAGCTGGATTGGTTTAATGACTGCATGATCGCTTAATAACTGCAGTGATTTGGTTGTGATCACTTAACAACCATGACCAAAAAAAAACCAACGTCGTAACATCGGGTATGACTCATTTAACAATTGCCTTACTTAGCAACCAAAATTCTGATCCCAAATATGGTCATAAGTCAAGGACTATCTGTAAATAGTTAATTTGTGCAAGAATTTAGACTAGAAAAGAGGAACGAGCATGGACCATATTTCAGTGACCATCCCACTGGATTGTTTGTAAAAACAAGAAAAGAAAAGGATGATTGCTAGGCTAAAATTCTCACCATTTTTTGCAAACCTTTAAAAAGTCTAGCATGGGAGGTGGGGGAGAAGAAGCCTGCTGATTTCTTTTTCATATGTTCGTTGGTCTAGAGCATGGGTGTTAAACTCGCGGCGTCATGTTCCATCATGTGACATTTTGCAACTTTTTTCCCATTCATGGAGCTGGGGTGGGTGTGGCCTGCATGTAACTCGCAGGCCTCCTGTTTGACGCTCCTGGTCTAGAGTCTAGTGAAATGGCCCCGTCACGTAAAAGCTTAGGAAAGCAAGTTAAATTGTTACTTCTTAACTTAAAACTGTAGTACGCCTTTGTTATTACATTTTTAATCATCCATTCCACACCAAAAGAAACTGTAGTAGCTTTGTCCCTTTCTTAGGTGAATGCTTAATTCTGCAGGTTTTAGAAACAGAATTGATTTTTAAAATTGTAGATTGCACCTTAAAAGTATTTTCGGTTCACAATAATGTCAAGAAATACGTTACTTGTTATAATACATTTTTAAAAAATATTTCAAAGTGAATAACAAACAGAAATTGCAATATTAACTGATATCTAATTGAATAATTTCTTTTTGCTTCCTATTTATTTTGTCATTCTTGAGACCAATAAAGCATATTTTAGTTTACATTATTGTTTTCATTTGTATTCTTCAGAAATGCGTTTTTAAAAGGCTATGTTCAGCAGTTTCTATTCACTTTTCGCTATTTCTGCTCACAAGAGGAACTTTTACAATTTCTTCTGGATAGAATCAGAATTACCTTGCCCAGGTAGGTAATGAAATCCCACTGAAATCAGGTATATTTGAGTTCATTAGTATTTGAGTGGCCTTCATTATGTACCTTTTCATAATTATGAAGTATTCCTTACTTTGTAGTCAAAGGGCATAGACAAAAAAATAGTTTTTGTGCCAGTTGAAGTTTTTGCTACCTTTAGATTTTCTATCTGGATTACCAAGCCTTTTTTTTTTGTCATAATAACAAGACTAGCAATGGTGCTATCCTTAGAATTTCAATAAAGAACAAAGAAAGTGGTTGGCAGATTTCCTTATCTTCATTTCCTCTTATACCAAATGTCTTTCTAACATGGATAGGATCGGGTGATGGTTGATGGGTGCTTGAAATGGACCATTTAGCTACCTGTGACCTATTAGTTGAGTGATGATGTGAATTTAACAGTCTTCTGGAATAGTGCTATACCCATTTTAAAGATAAGTTTAGCACTCTTCCAAATGAGCATAAACCTAGTTGGGAGATCACAAGAAGAGGGTAACAGAGGGAAGTAGGGAGTGATCAGTAAGGAATGAACTCCATCCTTGATTAATGCTGCTAAGGAATGGCGGTCCTTGCACCCAGTCCACTTGATGGCCAGCATCACTAGAAATAGCCGAGATATGGCCGTGGTATCAAGCACTGGGGAAATCAGGAGATTCAGGCAGTTCCAATGAGTATAAAGATTTATTGTAAGCTTAAACTCTACAAGAATCTGAACTACTAACAGTCAAGGGAAATTAGTGGGAATTAAGAAAGGAATTCAAGGTGTGCTGGACTCTTGTGGGTGCACTGGGACTCATGATTGAAGATGCATTTTACCCCTCCTTTGGGTTCCGCCTGGTCATCTCCCACACATGGAGCCAGAATGAAGCAAGCAAAATAGAGTCACTTTCCTTATTTCAAGTAATAAAAACAGTAAAAATAACAGCCCCATGAAAACTCTCACTGACAAAAGCAACTCCTCCAATAGTATCATGAATGACTTAGATAAGGGGATAGATGAGGAACTCATCAAATTTGCAGATGACACCAAGCTGGCAGGAATAATAATAATAATAATAATAATAATAATAATAATAATAATAATAATAATAATAATAATAATAATAATAATAATAATAATAATAATAATAATAATAATAATTTTATTTCTATACCGCCCTTCTCCCGAAGGACTCAGGGCGGTGTACAGCCTATTTAAAAACAGAATAGACATCAATTTAAAATAATTTAAAAATATTAAATAAATTTGGCTTAATTTAAAACCCCAAAAATTTAAAACATCCAATTTAAAATTATGTTGCTAACCCAGCCTGGCGGAACAATAGGGTCTTGAGTGCGCAGCGAAATACCCGGAGCTCAGAAATCTTACAAATTTCCGGGGGCAGTTCATTCCACAGGGCTGGGGCTCCCACAGAGAAGGCCCTCCCCCTGGGTGTCGCCAGCCGACATGACTTGGCCGATGGCACCCTGAGGAGACTCTCTCTGTGGGAGCGGACTGGCCGGTGGGAGGCTATTGGTGGCAGAAGACAGTCTCGAAGGTACCCGGGTCCTGTGCCATGTAGCACTTTAAAGGTGGTGACCAACACCTTGAATCGCACCCGGAAGACCACTGGGAGCCAGTGCAGCTCGCGCAGGAGGGGTGTCACGTGGGCGCAACGAGTTGCACCCATAACCACCCAAGCGGCCGCATTCTGGACCAGTTGGAGCTCCGAGTGCTCTTCAATAGCCAACACTCAAGAAGATAGGCTCAAGATACAGAAGGATCTTGACAGACTTGAACATTGGGTGCTCTCTAACAAAATGAAATTCAGTGGTGAAACAAGTAAGGTTCTACATTTAGGCAAGAAAAACAAAATGCACAGATATAGTATAGGAAGTACCTGGCTCTTGGAGTCCTAGTGGACAATCACTTAAATATGAACCAGCAGGGTGCTGCCAAAAAAGCCAACACAGTCCTAGGCTGCATCAATAGAGGGATAAATTCAAGATCATGTGAAGTGTTAACACCACTTTATAATGCCTTGGTAAGGCCACACTTGGAATACTGCATACAGTTTTGATTGCCACAATGTAAAAAAGATGTTGAGACTCTAGAAAGAGTGCAGAGAAGAGCAATAAGGATGATTAGGGGACTGAAGGCTAAACATATAAAGAATAGTTGCTGGAATTGGGTATGTCTAATTTAATGAAAAGAAGGACCGGGGTGACATGATAGCAGTGTTCCAATATCTCAGAGGCTGCCACAAAGAAGAAGGTGCTATTCTCCAAAGCACCTGAAGGCAGGACAAGAAGCAATTGATTGAAACTAATCAAGGAGAAAAGCAACCTAGATCTAAGGAAAAATTTCCTGACAGTGGGAACAATTAATCAGTGGAACAACTTGTCTTCAGAAGTTGTGGATGCTCTAACACTGGAAGTTTTTAAGAAGAGATTGGACAACCATTTGTCTGAAAAGGTGTAGGGCTGAGCAGGGGGTTGGACTAGAAGACCTCCAAGGTCCCTTCCAACTCCGTCATTCTGTTCTGTTATATCAGAACCACCAACACAAACTGGTAGAATCTAGCTCTCTTTAATGGTTGAAATCGATACACTACAGGATCAGCATTAGTAAAACATTTTAAGCACAGCTCTAGACCTCTTTCAAAGCAATACTAAACCATGTTTAAAGGAGCTGCATAAGACTTAATAAGCACTTCAGAAAGTGATTATTCCAAGCCTAAAGTGGCCAAAACAGTTACTGGTGCATTTTTAGACCAGAGGGGATCAGGTAGGGGATCTGAAGAAATTTCCAAGTGCATCAGTTTAGATTTGGTCAATTCTTTCACTGATGGCACATTCTTTAGGCCAAAATATATAATTGGATTTCAACAAGGTTTTTTTTCTTGATTTTAAAAATTACATTTTTATTGTGTGTGAAGTAATAACTGAAACAGATAATGCCAGATGAAAACACCTGTTCATCATTTCTTTTTTTTTAAATTTTCTTAGTTCCAGCCCAGAATCTTGTTCATTGTTCAGCAAAATATACCACCGCAGTTTCTTCATTCTTCAAGCTTGGATCGAAGACTGTTACACGGTAGACTTCAGCATAAACCCTAATTTCATGCGAATACTAAAAGACTTTATCATTTCTCAGGTAATTCATTGCTTTGACAGAGAGCTTGATGTAAATGTCTTCTAAATCACCTCTAAGTTACAGCATATAATATTCCAGTACATTATTCTAAATATAATTGGTTGAGAATGTGGGGGAATGGAAATAAAATTTATTTCAGATAAATGAAGACACAGTTTGAAGCAGAAGAATATAATTAGTGACTTTTTGCAGGTGGTTCCACTCAATGGTTATGGCAGACAGTTGCTATCATTACTTAATAACATTGCTAGCAAGAAAGAGGGAAAAGTTTCTCAGTTCTGCATGATGGAAGAATGGGAACAAGGGATGGCGATCCATGAAACCCGATCATTACGTTTTTCATGCAAAAGGGACTCCGGAAATGTTTTACAAAAGGTATGTAATTTCCCTAACTTGCTTTATATTCACTTATGATAACTATATCCAATGTTATTCCTTCTCACTGTGCTTAGTAGCCTTATTTAGTCTATTTGAAAGAGTGCCTTAGCTAAGTTATCATGGAAGGTTTACATCTAAATTAAGAGGTGAATCTTGATTTTGACTACAATAGAACTATCAGATGCTATGAAAGCTAGTCCTCCACTGGTTACGTCTTCTAATCTCCGTTTTTAGCTGGACAAAACCAAACAGCAGTTAATTGCATGAAATAATTGAGATGTATGATTTATTTTCATAAACCTAGTGGTTAAGGCACCAGGCTAGAAAGCAGGAGACTGTGAGTTCAAGTCCTGTTGTGGCCATGAACACCAGCTGGGTAAGTTTGGGCCAGTCACTTTCTCTCAACCCAACCGACCTTACAGGGTTGTTGTTGTGGGGAAAATTATTGTTGTAAACATAATAAAGGTGGGATAGAAATGAATAAATAAAATAAATCTAAAAAGGATAAAGTTCTAGAAGGGATTCCTGTTTGGTCGTATTTGTAGAATTTGCTATTGAATAAGTTAGTGCTGAAGTTAAGAAAATTATGAGAAATTATTATGTGAGGAAAATCTAAGAATCTTACCTGACTAGCACTGATGCTGTTACCTAGTTTGGTAATGAAATGTCTGCAAGAAAACAAGCAAGCTCAGAGAGTACCAGGGACCCCTCATTTCAACCCCGAGTTCTCCTTTATTGGAATCTTACCTACAAATTTATCTTATATACCTTATATAAGAATATATATATTTAAATTATCTTATGTAAGACTGGTTTCAATTTTCCTTGTGAAAGATGTAGCTAATGGCTCTTGTCCTTCTCAAATAGCATCTTAGCTGGAGACTTTCAAAAGGCCCTGAACCACAGTTTTGTCATAGACCCACAACAGAAGAATTATCTGGCTTCTGCATCAAAATAGCCGAGGCTCCATACTTCTTAAATGAATATACTGTGCAACAACTTTGTTCTCAGCTGACATTATTAGAACAGGTAAAATGGATTTTCTGTCACCATGGTTTTAGCACTGTACTCTTTAAATATTGCTATGCTGTAACACTCCAGTTGTATATAACAATATATTCAGAATGTGGTGAAAGCACTGAATCCATTTTGAAAGACCAAAGTACAGCTGTGTCAATAGCTTAATCCAGAGGTCTTCAAACTTGGTAGCTTTAAGACTTGTGGACTTCAACTCCCATAATTCTGCAGCCAGCACTGGCTGAGGAATTCTGGGAGTTGAAGTCTACAAGTCTTAAAGTTGCCAAGATTGGAGACCCCTGAACTAGAAGCTCTGGTCGTTTCTGATGGTCTCCCATCTAAGTATTCATTAGATCTGAACCTGCATAGTTTCAAAGCTGATAGAAAATTGACCAGATGCTGACTTCTATCAGTGATTCACACTATATGAATGAAACTGATAAGAATGTATTTCAGTTGGGCTCAGGATTAGTTTTTTTTAATGCTAAAATTGTTGTGATTGTCTTGACTTTTAATGAGTGAGACATGGATGGAATGTAAAGAAATACCTCCTTGATTTATTGGTATAATTGCTGCCTTTCTGGATCATTTCCTAAGAGACTATGTGAGTTTGGATTAGAAAACACAATAATGGAGGCATGCAAAATAGAATATATAAACACGCGACCGTTTTCTTTCATCTGTTTAGGAAATATTCCATAAATGCCATCCAGTGCATTTTCTAAATTCAAGATTGCTCGGAGTCAAAGATAAAACCGTGCCTCTCCCAAAGTAAGTTTGCTATTTAGCCAACCCTTCTGATGAAAGTGGAAAGCTGCTGACATGCCAGAATATTTAGCCTCTGTTTAGTTTTAATTACAGGCTAAAGCTGTTATTTAGTAGCTCCTTCTATTGGCTCTGCAGAAACCCTTTGATGCTTTTTCTTTCTTAGGTGGATATAAAATGGCAAAATAGAAGGCAGTTCATTTAATGTGAACCATTGGAACAAATTTACGTCTAAGGCAAATGTTCCCAAACTTTCTCAGTTAAGGAAGCATCCAGCTATTCCTAAACTGTGGGCCATGATGCCTTGGGGCTTGTTAAATATGTTAAATATTGTACTAAAAGATATTTCAGAGCTCCTGTGAGTTCATTGCAACCTCTCTGAGGTTATGGATTATGATACAGATAAGGTGGGGTGAAATAGGAACAATTTTAGAAATCTAGTTTTATTCCTGGCATCATTCCAGACTATTAAGGAAGGCAAATCAAAGACTGCAGAATTGTGGATAAATTATCCAAGGCATTTACTTGGTGCTTAGCCTTGTACTTGCCAATTATGATACATTCTGAAAATAATGTTTTTTTGCTGAAAATCTAGGTTACTCGTGTCTTTGAGCTTTGATCTTATGTCCCTTGGGGTCTGAAATACAATCCGATTCGTTGCTTTCCTTGCAGTGAGTTGTGTTAGCTTTTGCATAGACTTAGGCTGTAAGTGTTATAAATTTTTTATTTTATTTTACAGAGCTTCTTCCTCTGAATTGCTAACTACTCCGACTTATAACCTTTTTGTGAAAAACTGTGTCCAGGATGATTACCTTCTGCAGCTTTTAAAATATGCAGATAATGTCAGTACCTGGGTTGCTGCTGAGATTGTCACCAGTTGCAGCTCTAAGGTATGAATTTCTATTTCATGAATGGGTGTGTATGTGTGCCTGGGCACATGATTCGTTATTGTGATTTTATTTATGTGATTAATGAATATTTCTTCTTTGAATAGAGTAGGATCATAATAGCAACAGCACTTGGACTTATATATCGCTTCATAGTGCTTTACAGATCTTTCTAAGTGGTTTACAGAATCAGCAAATATCCCTCAACAGTCTAGATCCTCATTTTACCCACTTCGGAAGGATGGAAGGCTGAGCTTCCTTGATCCTTCCTTGATACAGTCAGGATCGAACTCCTGGCAGTCAGCAGAGTTAGCCTGCAATACTGCATCCTAAGCACTGTGCCACCGCAGCTCTTTTGCTGTCAGAGAAATCTTTTGCTTTCTCTGAACTACATTAAAAAAAATGTAACCCAACTCCCAGAATTCCCCAGCCAGCATGGGGAAATTTGTAAGTGCTGTTTAAGATATCTAAGTAGATGTGTGTCTTCAAGTTAGTGTTGACTCCTGGACAAATCCCTGCAGTTTTCTTGGCAGCATTTTTAGAAGTGGTTTTTCCTTGATGTCCTTCTAGGGTTGGGAGAGAATGACTGGCAGAAGGCCACCCAGTTGGCTTCCTGCCTAAGATTGGTGGTTTCTAGCCTGGTGCCTTAACCAGTACACTAAACTGGCACTTCATTTAATAGCATGATCAACAAATGGTCCAGGGCAGTCAGATGTAATTTATCTTTAGTATCTATTGTCTGATGTAATTTCTTTGAATAAATATAGCAACATTCCTTGCAGATACCGAAAGAGAAGAATTGCTTAATTGTTTACACTTTTAATTATTTTTCTTTTTTATTACTTTTTTTCTAATTTCCTATATTTTATCAGTTTTTGAAATTCAGTAAAGTTGTATTAAAAAAGAATATATTCTATGAATTCTGATATTTTATGCCTATTAAATAGTGTATCATCAGGTACAGTGGTGGGTTTCAATTTTTTTTTACTACCGGTTCTGTGGGCGTGGCTTGGTGGGCGTGGCATGGCTTGGTAGGCATGGCTTGGTGCGCGTGGCAGGGGAAGGTTACTGCAAAATCCCATTTCCTCCCAATCAGTTGGGACTTGGGAGGCAGAGAATAGATGGGGCTGGGGCTGATCAGAATTTTTACTACCTGTTCTCCGAACTACTCAAAATTTCCACTACCGGTTCTCCAGAACTGGTCAGAACCTGCTGAAACCCACCTCTGATCAGGTATTACAATTTGCATGCTATATATTTTATTGCATGATGATAAGCTAATTTTAATGTACCATGGTTGCTTGTTCTTGGTTCTTTGTTTTCTGTTTTCATACGTATGAATTGGTTTTATTGTTTATTTAGTTTTATAAAGTTTATAGATTTAATTTGCCTGGATGCTTTATTGTGTTTGATTACATTTTATCTTGCTATAGTCTGATCATTAACTAAAATAAAGTCTTTTTCTCTCGCCCCTTTTCAAAAATACACATGATTATTACTTAGTAACCAAAAACTACTTGGAAACCAGAGTTTTCGTAGCTGCATAATAAATCTAATGAAGAGGAGTTTCATGGGGAAAAAACATATACAATGCGCTTTGTGGTTTCAGCAAACAAAACAATTACAGTAATTTATTTAATCTGACATCAAATCTCCTCTTTTTAGTGAGCATTTTGCTTTGGTTGCCAATGGGTAATGAATTTTATCACATTTAGCTAGCTGGAATTGAAAGCATTTAGCTATTTCCAGTTGTCTTCATATAATGATGATGCCCTCCCTGACTGTGTAGCAAAAAATAGAGTCTTTGCTGGAAATGTGTTTTTTGACATTGAGTGCTGGGCATTTGAAACATGGGTTATACACATTGGCAGAGAATACTGATAAATTTTGTTTAAAATGTTTTCTGATTGTTCTCCAGGTACAGATGAATTGGGTATCAAAATTTCTCTTCACTGCCAAGTGTTGCTACAAGCAAAGAAATTTTGCCACTGCGATGCAGATCCTGAGAGGCCTGGAAAATCTCATTGTCAGACAATTGCCTGTGAGTACTATGCCTAGTTATTAGTCGTTTATACAGGCAATATGCTTTTTTATAATATTTGGAGCATGCAAATGATGCATTCCACTCGTAAAATTCAGAAGACTAACATTTATTTTGATTTCTGTTCAGATTTGGAAAAATTTGCCTTCTAAAGTTTCTGACATACTGGAAGAACTGAAGGCTGTAGAGGTACAGTAAAAAAATAAGCTCTTTTCTCTCTATCATGAATGGAAATCTGGGCTGTTCCTCAGAAATGTTTGCTGGCAAGCCCAGCTTCAGAGTTGTTTCGTGTTTTTTCTGCACGAGATGATCAAATGCCTGTCATGCTATACAGGTAGTCCTCAATTACCACAATTGAGCTCAAAATTTTAGTTGCTAAGTGAAATATTTCCTAAGTGAGTTTTATCCCAGGTTACGATTTTTCTTGCCACCGTTGTTAAGTGAATCACTCCACTTGTTAAGTTAGTAACATGGTTGTTAAGTGAATCTGGCTTCCTCATAGACTTTGCTTATCAGAAGGTCGTAAAAGTTGATCACATGACCCCATGCATACTGTAGCCATTATAAATATGAGTCAGTTGCCAAACATTTGAATTTTAATTGCATCTGAACAGGCATGGGAGCTCTAGGCCAGTGATGATGAATCTATGATATACATATCCCAGGTAATACACCATTTTTTGCTGGACTCTCTGGATGCTCTTGAAAAGGGGTCCCCAATCTCCGATCCGTGGACTTGCACTGGGCCATGGCAGGCCAGAAACCGGGCCATGCAAACACGCAAAGTCCCATCTGCTGGAAACAGGCAGCACACGAAACCATGCCCCTTTCAGTCTGCAAAAAAAACTCTCTCCATGGAACCGGTCCCTGGTGTCCAAAAGATTGGGGGCCACTTCTCTAGAAGTTATACGAGAAGGCCTTATTCTTGCCCAGTCTCCAAGATGTCCGAAAATAACATGAGCATTTTCTGGGGCGCCAAAGGCCCAGTGAGAACACCGTTCTCTTGCACTCTCTTCCAGAAGATCCAGAAACGAAAGTCTGGCCCAGAGGTCCAGAGAGGCTTTTTTTTGTCTGAGGTTTGTGTGTGTGTGTGTGTGTGTGTGTGTGTGTGTGTGAGTGGTGGGTTCCTCCCGGTTCCGCCCAGTTCCGCCAAGCCGGTAGTGGTGACGGTATGATGTCACCGAACTGGTTCACCCCCCTGCCCCCCCCAACCCCCCCGGCATTATTCTTACCTTTTATTTGGCCCCACCCCCAATCTATTGCTGCCTCCTGAGTCCCAGCTGATGGGCTATAAGGAAAAACTGTTTAAACTCTTGCCATGGGGCTTCAAAGGGCCGCCCTACAGCTGATCAGTGGTAAAAGGCAGTTTGGTGGTAGACCAGTGCCTGAAAAAATAAATGGGTAGACCAGTGCCTGCAAAAATACATGAGTAGACCAGTGCCTGCAAAAATAAATGGGTACAGCTCTGCAAGCAGTTAAAAGCCTGGTAGACCAGTACCTCTGCTAAATCCTAAAGAATTGTCACATGACCATCAAGCCACGTCCACAAAATAAGCCACGCCCACAGAACCGGTAGTAAAAAAATTTAGAACCCACCCCTGGTATGTGTGTGTGTGTCTGTGTGTGTGTGTGTGTGTGTGTGAATAACAGATAAGAAAAGTCAAGGTGGGCATTTTTTAAAAAAATTGACGCCATCCCCAAAGGTTCACCATCACTACTCTAGTCCAACATTTTCCTTCATCAAGTGTGAGACAATAATATTAGAGACCATTTCCAGTCATCTCAGCTTAGAGATGACTGGAAATAGTAAAAAAGTGCACATGATCTGTGCCTTCCTTTATACATATGCTTCTCTTGTCCACAGGTAGTCCTCCATTTACGACCACAGTTGAGCCCAAAATTTCTTTTGTTAAGTGAGATATTTGTTGAGTGAGTTTTGCCCCACTTCATAACTTTTCTTGCCAAAGTTGTTAATTTAGTAACACGGTTGTTAAGTGAACCTGGCTTCCCCATTGATTTTTCTTGTCAGAAGTTCACAAAAGTTGATCACATGACCCCAGGACACTGCAACTGTCATAAATATGAGTCAGTTGCCAAGCATCTGCATTATGATCATGTGACCATGGGGATGCTGCAACAGTCATGTGAAAAAGGGTCCTAACTCACTTTTTTTCAGTGCTTTTGTAACTTCAGACGATTACTAAATGAACTGTTGTAAATGGAAGATTACCTGTATCCCGCTTCCGTGCAAATCTAGCTGGAATAAGTACATCTCTGAGTCTGTCCTCAAGAAACTTGAAAATTTGGAGGAGGAGGGCTTCAGTAGTGGGTTTCAAATCCCGGTGCTACCGTTCTCTATTGGTAGGGCGCAGGCGCTTGCTGCGCCCTACCAATGCACAGAGCATTTTCGATGACGTCTGGGTGAGTAGGCGGAGCCTCCCTCCGCCGTCACTACCGGTTCGCCCGAACTGGGGTGAACCAACCCACCACTGGAGAGCTTACTTTATATTTTCAGTGTTTGCATTCAAGGCTTCTTCCTAGGATTTGACGGCAGCCTTCAGAGAGACAGTTCCCAAACCAGAGACAAGTTTAAGGCTGAGCAGAAAATTAAATGAGATCTTTCTGATCAAGGGCTGACATTGTGTCAAGTCTACATGCTGGCTTTGCCTTTGCTGGAAATCTTGTCCCCATCTGCTCCGCTTAATGGTTTATCACTCCCTCGGGCCAGCTAAGCTCCAAAATGTTTCTTGTAAATGTCATCACAGTAGCCTTTCTGACAGTGAGTGAATGAAGAATTGGAAGGCTATCGGGGACTTGTTTTTGTTTTTAAAAATCTGTTCTCTTATAAACAGAAAAATAAACACAAATTGAACAATCCATTTTTTGGTTTCTGTTTCCCTCACATTCTGCCTTGGGTGTTTTTTTTTAGATGCAGTTGTAACATTTCAGATTTGATTGCAAAAGAATATTGAATTATATTTTTCTCTAGCTCCTGCATTGCGGGAAGGGAACACTTTAAACACTGACTTTTGAGAAGTACAATATCTTGTTTTTATTACAAGTAAATCTCTCCATGTCTTCTGCTTTTAGCCAAAAGAAAATGATTGTTAGTAGTGTAGGTATATATATGTATTTGTGATAGGCAGTATTTGTTCCTCCAATGATCTGGATCACTTGTGTTTCCTTGAAAGGGCAAAATTTTGCAAGACAGAGAACATTTTGCAATTGCTCTTTATATCCTCCAGGACTGAAATCTGGCATAAAAATCCATATCCAGATATAAGACATTATTATACATTATTTACATTACATATTACAGAGTGTATATTATACATATATCCATTATCGTTCCCAATTCTTTCTCTTTAAATATTATACAAAAATGTTTGTTACAACATAGCAAAGACTTTGCCATGCGGTGAAATGCTCCTGGTTCGGACCGGATTGCCCGATCCGGTAGCGATGGCGGCGGGTGGTTCGGGGAACCGGTAGCAAAAATCCCTGCGCCCCACCCCCCCACCCCACCATGCTCAGCTGAGTCGCACGGTCATCAGAGGCTTTTTTTTTTACTTTTAAAAGCATTTTTTCTACAACCTCTTCCGACAAAAAATGCTTTTAAAAGTAAAAAAAAAAAAAAGCCTCTGATGATCACGCGACTCAGCATTTTTTTCTGCAACCTCTTGGCCGAAGAGGTGGTAAAAAAATGCTTTGAAAAGTCTCTGATGATCCCAGCTGAGTTGCCCGATCGTCAGAGAAGCTTTTCAAAGCATTTTTTAAAATGCCTTTCTGACGATCCCAGCTGAGTTGCCTGATTGGCAGAGAGGCATTTTTTAAAAAATCTCTCTGATGATCCTAGCTGAGTTGCCTAATCGGCAGAGAGGCTTTTCAAAGCATTTTTTAAAAAGCCTCTCTGGCGATCCTAGTTGGGTTGCCTGATTGCCAGAGGCTTTTCAAAGCATTAGAAAAAATGCTTTGAAAAGTTAAAAAAAAAAAAGTTGGCCACGCCCACCCAGTCACATTACCACCCCCCACCAAGCCACGCCCACAGAACCGGTAGTAACACATTTTACATTTCACCCCTGCTTTTCCACCAATGGTTATGCCCTGTTCTAAGATGTCTGCCTGCATGTCTGTGTTTATTATTTCAGGTATTTTTAAAAAGTGACAGCTTGTGCTTAATGGAAGGGGAGAGATTTAAAACACTGCCAACAATTCCATCGGCTCACATACTAGCTATGCACATACAGCAACTTGAAACTGGAGGATTTACGATGCGAAATGGCACCTACAGGTGGACCAAACTTAGGTAATGTTTTTATGGCATGGAATTTACTAAAATGGAATACAGCCTTGCAGGTTAATATATTTATTATATTTTCCCCAAAATAAGACCCTGTCTTATATTTTTTGAATCCCGAAATAAGCGCTTGGCCTTATTTTTGAGGAGGTCTTATTATTTTGGGGCGCTGGAGCAAGACGGGGCTCCTCTTGCCATTTTACCTCATCTCCAGCTCTGTCTCCGTAACCCTAACCAGAGAAAACGGTAGGGATTGGTTGCGCATGGGTTTAAATATTTTTGGAGAGGGCTTATTTTCGGGGGGGGGATTATTTTAGCTCGTGAGCTCAAAAGCCCGATTGGGCTTATTATCCGGGGAGATCTTATTTTCAGGGAAATAGGGTAGCTTAACAATAATGTTAAAAAACATATTCTGTATATTAATTTATGAAATAATTAAAGGCAAGATAAATTGAACGTTTTGATTATTTATTGTAGAATGTTTTATATACATTCGTTTTTAAAAAATTGAATATTAAGCGCCTAACACAATGTTTATTTTCCATCAAATATGGGGAGAAAAAAGCCTGACTGGTTTCTTTCTTCTTTTCTCTTTTTAAGAAATATTGCAAAAGTTGTAAGCCAAGTTCAAGCATTTCAAGAAAACCCCTACATGTTCCCACCAGATTGCCAATTACAAGATTTCTTAAGACAACGAATAGCTTTTCTTAACAATGCAGACATCTTCACATTAGCAGCTGACAATTATGCCAACTTTCATCAGAAACCTGAAAAGCAATCTCGAAAAATCCAAGATGCATTACACAGGATGAAAGCAATGTTTCAGTAAGGTTTATATACATCTCTTGAGCAATTTCTATTTAAAGAAACATCTTCCTGGATCAACTAATTACTAACTAGCTGTACAGATAGTCCTCGATTTATGACCACAATTGAGCCCAAAATTTCCATTGCCAAGCAAGGCAATTGTTAAGTGAGCCATGCTCCATTTTATGGCATTTTTGCCATGGTTAAGCAAATCGCTACGGTTGCTAAGTGAATCGTGGTCATTAAGCAAAACTGGATTCCCCCATTGACTTATTTTCATTAGTTTCATTTGAGTTTATTCCTTGAACTGGATACAAAAAAATAAGGGTTAATAATCCCCATTTAGAGAATAAACGAAAATATATGATGCCTTCAAAAAAGTAAAAGAATTGAAATGGAAATAGGCTGGTCACATAGCAAGAAGAACTGATGGCAGGTGGACCAAGGCAGTCATAGAATGGATCCCACTTGATAAAAGGCATCCATGACAGAGACCTAAAACAAAATGAAGCAACGACATCAACAAGTATTGTGGGGCCCAACTGGCGAAGGAAAGCTGAAGTACGTATTGGTTGGAAACATGTGGAAGAGGCCTTCATCCTGCAGTGGATAGACATAGCTAAGATGATGATGATGATGATGATGATGATGAAGAAGAAGAATCACCATTTTGAAAACAATGTTGATTGAGATTTGCATTCGGCTCAGTTTCTATTTGGAACTGCCAATCCTTTGGAGGCATTTGCAAGATTCCTGCTGTTAGTTTCTTCATTTAATAATAAGTTAGCTTCAGAATAACATATCAAAGGCGTGTAAAGAAATTAATATTAAATATTTTCCCACCTTTATTTTGACTTGAAGACAGAGGTTACAGATAAAGATTAAATCTGAGTATATCTTGTCAGAAGACCCAGTTTTTCATAAACATTTCACTATCTTAACAACAACAACAACAAAACATCAGTACAATCACATCTGGAGAAACAGTGGCATCCATAAGGGTGAATCTACAAAGTTAAGAGGGTGATTAGAACTGCACAATCAAAGCCTTGCTCCTTTTTAATGTGTGATGCATTCATGATACACAAAAGGGGCCAGGCTTGAATTGTGTGGCTGTGTCCGCCAACCTGAGTTTCTTGACTCCCCTTTGGAGATTTCTGCCCAGAAACTCATTTCGTTGCTAATTTATTGATCACCAGATTAAGCAGGTTCAGAATTGGAACTAGTCCTGCCATTATTTTCTCCAATAAAGTTTGATTCCTCGAATTTCATAAATCTGCTGCATGTTCTCTGTGGTTTTTGCATAAAAAGTCTAGTGCAGAGAAACTGCCAATGGAATAAGAGCACTGAACATATCCTGAGCCAACATCTGTTACTATGTGGCCAAAGGAGAAACTGGAGACAAAGGTTGACATTAAAAAAAAGACAAGTAGCATGTCAGCGTGCCAAGTAATACATCCGCCAAAAGCAAAACTCCGACACAGGTAGATTCCTCAAAGAACATATTGGATACAGCATATCAGCACAGCTAGTGAAAACCAACTCTAAAAGTTCCCACAGTTGTCCCCCTAATTAAAAGAGCGAATATTTCTCTCCCCAGATGTCACCGGTTACATTGTCCAATGAGAGTAGCCGGGAGACTGCTTGTTCACTCCTCTGTTGGGATGACCTTGGTTCCCATAAGAAAACCCTTTGTTTTGACTGGTAACTGGTCTATCTATTTCCCCTTCCAAAGTTTGTGGCAAATATGAGGCAGGAAAAGATGGCTTCAGCCAAGCTCGCTTCAAAGTTGACACACTGGATGTAACCCATAGGCAACCAATTACCAGCCACTAGTTTAGCTCAATGGTGACCTGAAAGGTCTTACCCTGATTATTTGAGTAACTTGCTACAATTTAGGAGTGGACATACTAAATTCAAAACAAAACCCCACAATGGCCATATGGCTAGAGTCCTTAATTAAAACTAAGTAACAATTAAAGTCTTCCATCTGACAACTTGCAGGAGATCTGTTGAGAGCTCTGCTTGTTGCTTGGGAGAGAGTAGAAGATATCAAAAGACAAAAAGATGCATCAACAGGAGATGGTCCTACCACTTCTAGTAAGTGCCTCCAAGGGAATGTATCCCTCTAATGACAAAATGAGGGATGCAGTGGCTTAGTCACTGAACTTGTTGATTGAAAGGTAGGCAGTTCAGCGGTTCAAATCCCTAGTGCCGCATAAAGGGGTGAGTTCCCGTTACTTGACACTGAACTTGTTGATTGAAAGGTCGGCAGTTCAGTGGTTCAAATCCCTAGTGCTGCATAATGGGGTGAGCTCCGGTTACTTGTCCCAGCTTCTGCCAACCTAGCAGTTCGAAAGCACGTAAAAAATGCAAGTAGAAAAATAGGGACCACCTTTGGTGGGAAGGTAACAATGTTCCATGTGCCTTTGGCGTTTAGTCATGCCAGTCACATGACCACAGAGACGTCTTCAGACAGCGCTGGCTCTTCAGCTTTGAAACGGAGATGAGCACCGTTCCCTAGAGTCGGGAACGACTAGCACAAATGTGCAAGGGGAACCTTTATCTTTACCTAGTGACAAAATATTTTCTGCTCTCAATTACCTAATGCTACCTGAGTACTCACATAGTATCAGCCTCCATAGGTAATAAGAAAAGAAAATGTTTAGTTGCCCATTTGCTCCTAATGTTCTTCCACATCTATTAGTTTTGGGGGTTGGCATGGCCTTCTAAGATTGAATTCTCAACATACAGAAATGATTAGACTTGAATCTGGTTTCTTGAGTCAGATTAGCTAAACTGAAAGCAGAGACTTAATTCCAAATCATTAAAAAAATGTTCAGTATCTATTCTTCTTCTTATACCAGCTCTATTTCTAGTTTATGGTTCTAAGGCAGCATATGATTCCTTTTCAAGAATAATTTTCATACAAATTTGCAAACATGATGCGTTTCTATGTGTGCTATGTATTTGATTGGAGTGATGTTTTGTATGCATGTACTTAACTTTCATTACTTTTTTCTGTAATGTATCCTATTAAAACAGATCACCTGTTAAACAATTAGTTGCGGACACTGATTTGTTTCAAAGGATTTAAATCCTTCATTTAAGCTGAAGACCCTGTTATTCCAGCAAGCTGGTCTGATGGGACAATAATTTTAATCGCGTTTTAAATATGGGTTTTTAACATGGTTTTATAAGGGTTGTAGACCGAATTTTAAATTCGGCCAAAAATTGAATTATTTTAATATGGTTTTTAAATTTGTCTTGTATATTGTTTTATTATGGCTGTTCACCGCCCTGAGTCCTTCGGGAGAAGGGCGGTATAAAAATATAATAAAATCAAATAAATCAAATCAAGTATTTATTATATCACCTAGAGGTAATTTTCCTATTGAATCTGAAGAAGATTAATCATAGTGATATGTTTTATTTTGTTTGAAAACATTTTTCATTTTCAATTCAGTCGAATCTCTGTTTTTGAATTTTTATATGGAATTATTTTTCAAAAGTTTTTAAGCTGTAAAATCTGTAAAAATTGTTTAATCATGAGCAAATTTGAGCAAGTATTTCTCTGTAAATTACAGTGTCAAAATTATTTTAAAAGAACCTCTTTCCACCATTATGTCATTCTGTGCTATGCTGAGGACCTAAAGTACTTTCCAATAATTGACTTGAAATTTTCTAAAATCTGTTCTCAGACGTCAACATATAAGTTACTTTTTAAACTTTTTAAACTCTGCTTATATTTTTATATGAAACAATCAGTATTTTCAAGCCAAAGTATTGCTTTTAAAAATATCTTATGATATGATGTGAAAATAAATGATTAAGTCTAGAGGAAACTTCTTGTCTAATTGCTATTTTTATTAAATTTTCTGATTTATTTTGATGTTGACTTGAACATAGGGAGAAACAGGCATTTTTAATACACTATTAATACAAATTGAAACCTTTTATTAATATACCTGCAGCAACCTCTTATCCAACTCCAAATTATTTTCAATAAAGTTTGAGAATTTGTATGAAACTATTTTTAGAGTTTATACTGCTAAACCACTGAAATGTATTTTTTTAGTCTGGAATCCATGCTATAACTTCCTGCCCTGTTCAAGAGCATAAGTAGATATGGCTTATCAAGTTAGTAAGGCTGAAATTTATAGAACTTTTTGCTGGAGGGGTTAAAGCTATTTTTTTTTAAAATGTAAAACAAGCACTTGAGCGAATATAATCAAATATTAACTATGGCATTTTAGCTATAATATTTCATTCATCTCTGAGTCATGAACAAAATCAAAAGAAGGGAAGAAGGCTTTTTTTAATGTCGGGACAGATGAGATTATTTTCATCTAATCAGAGTCATAAATTATATATTATTCTCTCTTGCCTCCTTCAGCCTCATCTCACTATTGTAGCTTTCAGGTCGAATAACCTGAAGTTTTTAAGAGATGCATCAGAGAAAGCTTTCTGGATTTGAGCATGTTTGCAAATTACTTTGACTAAGAATTACCATCCCAAACTATTTCTAGACATTACTCTAGATCAGGGGTCCCCAACCCCCAGTGCGTGGACCAGCACTGGTCCGCAGCATTCCAGAAATTAGGCTGGGCAAACAAGTGAAGCCCCATCCATGGGATGCAGGCAGCACGGGAAACTACGCCCCCCTCTGGTCCACAGAACAACCTCTCTACGGAACCGGTCCCTGGTGCCCAAAAGGTTGGAGGCCTCTGCTCTAGACAGATGGATGTATTGATTATGGAGTCACTGTAAATGTAAGGCTGAGCAAAAATACCGCTTTTATATGTGCCCTTCCATGTTTATTTGCATTTCTCTTAATTAATATCCATATTAATTATTTCTCTTAATATCCATAATATTTAGTTTATGCTGACTTCAGAAGAAAGAACAAAGATGGAAGATGGGAAATAGGCTCTATTAATATTTTTTTTTACAAGAATTGAATAAAGTAATTAATGAAGTCAGAAAAAAAAGTTTCAGGTTAACTAGTGATTTAGGGCAAAGCATGGAATAAAGGGATGAGCAAAAAGTACAACTAAGACCATAAAGGAATAGAAATGCTAACATAGTATAAATGCTAGTTACCAGTATATGCTACTTCTTTTTTAAAACACATTCTTTCTCATTTTGGAAGTTACTTTAAAAATCCTTTTAGAGGAATGATGATAGCTGTATCATATACAGCATTCTTTTTCTTCGTAATTGCTTATTTATCCAGAAGGTGGCACTGGAAACCTATGATTGTAGTTTTAGAAAATATCCCTCAGGGATAACCTGAGATTCCATTTCATCAAATACAAGTACTAGACAGAGGGAGGGAAGGGGAGAGAGAGAGAGAATGTGAGTATTGTGCTTAAAAGTTAACAAATGTATTGTGGTTTAAGCTTTTTCTGGTGAAAACTTAATACATCTCTATTAGTCTTTTAAAGTGCCACCTTCATTATTCTTTATTAGTTGCTATTTTGAAGAAATCTTAAAGATACATCAAACTGTGCAATAAAACATATCTTGGTATTCCATTGTTAAAATAAATCTACCAAAAAAAAAAAAAGACATTTATATTCCTATTGGTTCCAGAGAAGTTTATTTATTAAAATAAGATCCACTCAAATCCAGTGAAGCAAAAGTTGAAGGTGTCTGAAAGAAATGATTTTACAGCAGAAGTTGAGATGCTGAAGATCCTTAGTGTTGTATTCCAGACCCAAATTACTAGCTAGCTAGGCTGTCAATCTTAACAATCTTCTTTGGAGTGCCACAGGTTTGACACTCTCAATTTATGGAATGACATACAGATCCTCAGCAACTCCTCCCCCAGTTAAATATGCTAGAAAAATGTCCCTCTTAGATCATTTTTTAAAAGGCAAGGTTAGCCTAGTTACAGCTCAATTGCCTTTGCTTATCTAAGAAGTATATATTTCAACATATTAATAAAAATCATTGGCTGCAAGCCAATATATAATTATCTGTTGGTTCTTGGGATGGTACAGGATTAGATATAGTTCATAGTACTCCAGTGTTAAAGCAGGTCTATTTATAACTTAGCCATCAAGTCCCACCTCTGAGAAGGAGATCTGGCTATGTTTCAAAATAATAATTTACTGCAGAAATAGGCACCCTAAAGTCTAGAGATCAAAGGTCTGTGCTATGCATTAATAACTAATTATTTAATTATACAATTTATTTTATATAATTTAAATTACACACACACACACACACACACACTATATATATATGCAAGTCTTGGCGTATTTGGGTCTTTTCCCATGTAAGATCGTTACATATATATATATCTGTGTTTTCCCAAAAATAAGACCACACACACACACACACACACAATTTAAATTATACAATTTAATTAAACAATTATAAAAGTTAATACAGGTAATCCTTGATTTGCAACCACAATTGAGCCCAAAATTTCTGTTGTTAAACGAGACAGTTGTTAAGTAATTTTTGCCCCATTTTATGACCTTTCTTGCCACAATTGTTAAGTGAATCACTGCAGTTACCGTAAGTTAATAATGCGGTTGTTAAGTGAATCTGGCTTCTCCATTGACTTTGCTTGTCAGATGATCGCAAAAGGGGATCACATGACCCCGGGACACTGCAACCGTCATAAATATGAGTCGGTTGCCAAGCATCCAAATTTGAGTCATGTCACCACGGGGATGCTGTGATGGTCATAAGTGTGAAAAACAGTCATAAGGCACTTTTCTCACTGCCGTTGTAACTTTGAGTGGTCACTAAATGAACTGTTGTAAGTCAAGGACTACCTGTACAAAGATTACTTGGCTCCCTTACTAAGAGAAATCACCACTTGTACTATTGCATTTTAGCCATTTACCTGTGCTTAGTTTTTCTGAAAAATTGTTATCACCACGATTTACCAAAAAAAGAGGATAACCTCAACAAAAATCTCTTAGATACTAAACTTTCATCTTCTCTCACATTAAAAAATCATGTTATATACTGTTATCATTAAATTATTGTTTACTTGACAATAGAAAATGGCAATTAAGGAAATTTACTAACATAGGCAATCCAGTGGTTTAAAATCAATATTTCTAAACCTCATCAACTGGTCTAAATAGTTCTTCAAGGAATGTGTTTGTGGTGTGTGAAGAACTCATCAATATTCTTAATATCCCAATATTAAATCAATATTAAATATCCCACAGTGAGCTGAACCCACTAATTGTTTTTCCTTTAAAACCCCAAAAATATCAAACAGAAGAAACAGTGTTTGTGTTGGATTGATCATAACTTTAAAGCCTATACAGCCTTATCACACTTTGAATATCATAAGATAACATTTTGTGTCTAATTTTTGTGTGTGTCGTAGCACATCTTTTTGGCTTGTTTGTTACTCATTGCTCATGTGCTCCTATTTGTGAGCTCTTATGCAATTTCTATTATACTGCATGTGTGCCTATAAAGCATAATTGCCAGGAAATCTAGATGAAGGATTAGGCAACAAGATCATCGTGTATATAGGAGTAGAGATCATTAGACAACTTGGGCAGAAAGATATGTTACTGCAGAAAAAGTTGGCCATAAATGATATTGCTACATTCAATTCAGGTGAGTTATGTTTTGTTTGGGGTTGGGGTGGGGTGGGGTGGGGATGAGAAAAGTGCTTTAAAAGTCTACAGTTAATCTTGTCTGGGAGAAAAACAGCCCCTAAAGAAAAACTAAGTTTCCACACTTGTGAAACTCATCTATTCTGGAAAAATCCCAAGAAAAATTCATTGATCTGATCTATAGTGCATAACCTGAAGGGAAATTCCTTTCTAATCAGATGAATGGTGTTAAGATGATCACGACAAAGTTCTATCTGTCTCGTCTTCCTTTATTTGTATTGCAACAGAGAGCAAAGAGATGGCAATCCAACATACAAAATCCACATCTGGACAAAGCACTTTTGTCTCACGGTTAATGTAGCCATTAAACTTTGCTACCGGTATTATTGATCTTGCCTCTCAAGTTTGCCAAGACCAAGACGGTAAGCATTCCAGGAGACCCAACACATCTAGCTACAGGAACCACTCATAGATGCTCCCATTGTTGAGAAATGATCGAAAGATTTCACTGGATAGATCCAGTTTTCCCACCTGGAGATCCAGAAATATATCAGTTTTACTAATGCAGTTCCTATTTGTATTAATTTACGAATAATCAGTTGAAAGCATGCAAAACAAACTTAAAATTAGGCTATTTGTTCATCTTTATGCTGTATTCTGAATAAACAACAAAAGACCTTAAGAAACAGCCTTTTTATCACTGAGTAAGGTCAGTCTCAATTCCTGGATGACCTCATGGATATGTCAGGATTCTTCCTTTAACAAAACAAAAGTAATTTGGAATTCCTTTCTTTGAAGAGTTTCCCATCCCACTGTACTTTCCAATCTTAGGTTTTTCTGAATAACTCTGACTTTGTTTAGAATTGCAAATTAGCTAAGGTCATCTTGTAACTCCCTTCTTGATCCCTCTATCCTGAAGATGCTACATAGTTTTCTCTAAGCTATGTTTTCCAATTGTATTGGAATAACAATTATGGTAGTTGTAATCCTAACACAATTGGAAGGGTAGGAAAAAAGATTGGGAAAAACAATCTAGGGGATCTGAATGGAGGACTTCCTTGTTCAAAGAAGACATCTAGCATTGAACTATGTCCTTTTTCCAAGGGAAACAAAAACAACTTTGTGATGAGAATAGCTTGTGAGAACATTGTTGGAAGTGAACGAAAATGCTTTCCGCAGCACTTTCTGGTGCTCAAGTGTTAGTTTTGACACTTGTTTTAGAAAATCCACAACATGATGTTATTGCTACTCCAATTATTACAGTGCAGGGGATAGAATAATCTTCTGGTGGTTGAAGGTGACCTGGCATGCAGGGCAAGAGAACAAGAAAAGTGGCACATCAACAATTTTCTTCCAATGCTGAGCATTGCAGAGAGTGGCCCACATCACTGGATTTGGTATTACTGATCTGCACACAGTATATGATCTCTGATTTGTTTCATGTTTACTTTGTTCTGGACATTCTTTTATGAATTTGTTTGTTTATATCTTGCCTTTTCTCTGACAGTTCAAGGAAGGAGGTGTCCCTAATTATATTTCTATGACTACTATCTTGGGAGATATGCCGGAGTGGCTATGTCTGTGACCGGCTTAATTATCCAGTAGGTTTTATCATTGCGTGCAAATATTCTGGATTTCTCTGATCAAACACCCATAACATAGAACACCCATAACATAGAGTAATAGACTTGGAAGGGGACTTGAAGATCTTCTAGTCCAACCCCCTGCTCAAGCAGGAGATCCCATACCATTTTAGACAAATGGCTGTCCAGTCTCTTTTTGAAAACCTCCAGTGATAGAGCACCCACACTTCTGAAGGCAAGCTTGCTCTTACTTTTAGGAATTTACTCCTTAGTTCTAGGTTCCTTCTCTCCTTGGTTAGTTTCCAATAAGAAGTACAGTTAATTTCTATAAGAAGTATACTTCGCTGGCTCTTCATAAGAGTGATACCTATAAATATGTTACAAACACAAATCACCATTATAATTGGCAGACTTCTTACATGTTTGTAATTTTGTGCATTGTACAAATGCATATTTAATCATATACCGGTAGTGACTAAAACAAACTTATGTGAGTTAATTCAGAATTAGGCATGGTTTGAGGCCACCAAAAGCTATAAGTTTGGGTACAATGAGTGGATTTTATGCATCTCAAACAACAACAACAACAAAGCCCCACACACATCAGGCTTGAAACTGCTTGATTTGGTATTTATGTTTCCAAAATTTGGGAGGGGAAAGGATTTGGAAAGTCTTTCTGAAAGGTGCCTCTGCACTTGATAGAAAAGATCATACATTGTTCCCACATTCATCTTTAAGGTAACACAATAATTGAGTGTGCAAATGTAGCTTGAACAGTGGTTGCACTCATCTCCAGTGCCCCTTCTTTCATTTTTTTAAAATATCACCATATGCTTGTAATTCAAATGTCAGGGAATTAACCCTGACATCAAAAACTTATTTCCTGCTTTATAAAAAATGAATCAGCTTAATAAACACAAACACTTCAACAAAAGCTGTATAGCTTTTGAGGCCATAGGAAATACTTTCTTAATAAATGACCTCTGTCACTTAAGCTGCACTCAAAGGAACTTGAATTAATGTAGTTCTTTTAACCTTCCGTGGAAACTGTGAGCACCAAAGTTTGTTGTACAATTATCCTTTTAAACGTATCCTTACAATATAAATATGGAGCCTGAGTGGCGTAGGAGGCTAAGGCCTCCTACTAAGGCAGCATTTAACATCCAGCTGCCTGCAATTACTGCGAGTTCAATTCTCACCAGGCTCAAGGTCGACTCAGCCTTCCATCTTTTCTAAGGTGGGTAAAATGAGGACCCGGTTTGTGGGGGCAATAAGCTGACTTTGTATAAATATACAAAAGTATGAAGGCTATTGCTTAATGCGTTGTAAGCCATCCTGAGTCTCCGGAGAAGGGCGGCATATAAAAATAAATAAAAAGAAAAAAATAAAATAAATACAAATTTATATTGATCAGGAGGAAATGATAAAGGCATCTGGTGGGGAGGTGGGAAGGACTAGATTTTTTTTCCTATGGTGGAAATAACACTACAAACAGATCAATTGACCCAATTTCATCTCCTTCCATAAAACAGACAAATGTGTGAATCAAGCTAATTTTTCAACCTCTCTCCTCCCTCCGTGTCTCTATAATTGGACTACTAGGCTGTCCAGTAATTCAGCCCAAAATATATGAGGTGACCTGGAGGCCATGGCTTTTGACAGCTCCCCTCTCTCAGAAGCCATTTGTGATGATCAAATCCGAAGCAGCAACAGCCACAGATGCACCTGAAGTCCTCTGAGAAAGGAGTGATAGAGAATGACTTCAAGCCCTATCTTATTTATTAAGTAATAAATTACCATTGTTAGTTGGAAGAGAGAGAGAGAATGTCAGGCGCTGACGTTGGCTCCATCTAACTCCCAAGTATTTTTTTTTTTTCATGTGGAGGGAAGGAGACACCATTGGTACAGATTGTGAGGGAGGAGGAAGTAAACGGAGAAGGAAGAGGAGCAGAGAAAAGCTCTGTAAAACCATTTCCAATGACCTCAGGGCCACAGGCAGTCACTCTGCCATCCTCCTCTGTGTGTGTGTGTGTGTGTGTGTGTGTGTGTGTGTGTGTGTGTGTGTGTGTGTATGACACACACACAATCTCCTGCTGTCCCCAAACCCACCAAATGAGTTTGACAGCTCTTTTAAGGCAAGGCTACCAGGCTAATCATGCTCCTGTTGGATAAAACTCCTTAAGCAAGCAAGAGGGTTGCAAAATGTGGATGTGAAGACAAATTGGCCCCAACCAAATCTCCTCTTGAGCCAGGCGACTATTTACTGTCCCCCCGTGGCCTTTTGAAGCCACCCTTCCCATAAAGCCGGAGCAATCGGTGGGGTTGAGACCGAGCGGCAAAGGATATGACGGGGCCTGTAAATCGCTTAACCACCGAGCGACCTGAGCCCTCGGCAGACACCTTGGAGCCAGGCCCGGCCGGCTTTTGGAAAATGTGTGAACAGCCTCTTTTGTCGGGGGAGGCCCGATGATAATTAGACGGCGCTTATCTGCCCCTTTGATGTTTGTTTACTCCAGCGGCGCTTGCCTCGGGGCCGCGGCTCATAAGGGAAGGGACGAGGGCGGGCACGCCCAGCCTGGACACACAGCTCGAAGCCAGCGCGCCATGACCAAGGCTCCCTTCTCCGTAGAATGGCTCTCCCAAAGCAGCCGGCCCAGCAGCAGGCATGCCCAGAGCAGGCCAGAAGCCAAGGAGGCCCCCCCATCCGAAGGCGGCCGAGCCCAGCAGGAGGATTCACCGGCCGGGGAGAAGATCCCGAGTGAGATCAAGCTGGTCCCCAGTTCACAAGAGCCGCCTCCGGGGCCTCTCCCTTCGCTCCAGAAGAGCAGGCCGCCCTTGCCTTCCTCGTCCACAGGTACCTCCTCTCGTGCAGATCGCGGGTTTCCTGCTGAATTCTCTTGCTGCGGCGCCCGCGGGCAAAGATCGGGCTAGAACGGGGGGAAGAGCCCCGGGATTGACCGATGGAGGCATCGGGGGCAGGACAGGCCTCGGTGTGTTGTGTTTTAGATCAGGCGGTAGGCAGAGAATACGGTGCAAACAGAGACGGTTGGGTGCTCCCAACTTAGCGTGGCTCCCACTGGAAGCGTGGAAGGCAGCTTCCATTACACTTAGGGCGATTGGATTCCAGTCCAGAGTAAAATGGGAGCCCCAAGTTGGAGACTCCCGGTTGTCGTGTTTTAACTAAAATAAATGGTTGGTAGGTAGGTAGGTAGGTAGGTAGGTAGGTAGGTAGGTAAGAAGGAAGGAAGGAAGGAAGGAAGGAAGGAAGGAAGAAAGAAAGAAAGAAAGAAAGAAAGAAAGAAAGAGAGAAAGAAAAAGAGAAAGAAAAAGAGAAAGAAAAAGAGAAAGAGAAAGAAAGAAAGAAAAAGAGAAAGAAAGAAAAAGAGAAAGAAAGAAAGAAAGAAGCCGAGTGATGTGCTTCAGCCTTCGAGCCTTGCCTTTTTCCAGAGAAAAAGTTGCTTCTTTGCGTAACTATTGAAGAGGGCCTGTGTCAGATTAAATCAATGGCTTCAACTTCGCAAATTTTGCTGCATGTAGAAGGAAATTGAGTACACCGTGTTGTCTGGTTTATTAGAAAAAAGCTGGATTATTAGAAAAAAGCACTAGCTCCGCTGAGTTACGTTTACTAGAGGGCAACCTAAGCCGAAGAGGAGTGAAACTGGAGGTTGGGAGTCTTTCTTTGCGCTTTCAGAGATAGGAACGGGCAAAGTTAAAGACTCCTTTTAAAAAAAATAGTCCTAAGGTTCACTTTAAGGAAGGAGTAGTTCCATTTATTTCCCATCCCAAATTAATGGTTAATAAATCTGAAGAGGTTCTAAATTGTATGAAGGAGTTGGGCATATTTGGGACCCCCTTACCCCACGTTCGTGAACGCTGCCTTTCCATGTTTTTCTTAATACGTAAACGTTTCCGAAATGCGCTTTTTCAACCTTCCTCAGTCAGATGCGCTCCAGATTCGTGGGTCTGTAATTTCCATTATTGGCCAAGCGAAGTCATAGGCCGGTCTATCTGGGCATGGTTGCAGCCCAGTCCATTTCTAGGCAATAAGATTGAGGAACGCAGCCACTTTTTCTTCGGGAAGGGAAAACGGGAAACGGGTTTGCCCCTCTGACCCCGGATCCTTACCCTGTTTTTTTTTTCCCGGAATGGTTAGCTGCTTCCAAAATGCCGTGGAGCACTACGGAGTGCGGGTCCGACGGCGAAGGAAACTTCTCCGAGTGCCAAACTCCAGACGACGGTGGAAGCCGAAACGCGAATACTCGCCGTTTGCGCACCGCTTTCAGCTTGGAACAGATCAGCACCCTGGAGAGCTCTTTCAAGCGGCACAAATACTTGGGAGCGGCAGAAAGGCGCAAATTGGCCAGCAAAATGCAGCTCTCTGAAGTTCAGGTAATACGAGAAGCCGGTCGAAAGATTTGGGGGTGGGGTAGGGGAGAAGCACTTCTATTTCCAAGATGTAAGAAAGGAGATCTTTCCATAATCTGTGGCTCTCTCATCAACATTCTGGACCGTAATCTAATTTTGCCAAAATTCCTAGGCCTATCGTCCTTTTCATTGGAAAGGGAAAAGAGATCTGGAAATTGGAGTTTTCAACAAGGTTTAAGGATAGATGTTTGGGCTTTAAGATAGGCTAAGCCAATTTAAGAGAACCTTCATCCAGATGAGTATGAACTGAATGTATGAATTTTAACCAGTGTTGCAACTGCTTCTCTGGTAGGTAGGTTTATTTTATTGGGCTAATGTGCTGTGATTTAATGTATAGAGAGGGACATTCATTCCTTACCATATTCATTCTCCAGCTGGTGACCTCCCAATGTATTACAAAAGCCATGCCTAGTTTGTCTTCAGCTATAATGGTTAGGAATTCTAGGGAGGCTTTTGTTGCCTTTGTGCATCTGGAAGGCACCAAGTTTTATAATATCATAAAACAGTATTCATTTCAAACCCTGCCATTATATATCCCAACACTGGATATCAGCATTTGTTTCTTCACTCTATTGGAATATAAAGGCAGCAGAATGGGACTCTCCACATGTGCTAATAAAGGATACCGATTTATCTCCGGTTTCTCTCTATTTCTGCAGATCAAGACGTGGTTCCAGAACCGACGGATGAAGCTGAAGCGTCAGCTGCAGGAGATGAGGCCAGAATCATCCTTCCATGGTGTACCATTTTATGGTCACCTTCCTTTTGGACCTCAAAGTGGTCCCTTGTCCTATGTTTATTCACCACCTCAACAGACTTTCACCAGGAGGGATTCCTCTGGCATTCCTTTCCCTCCAGTGCCCCCTCCCAACCTGGATCCCAGAAGCACTTCTGGAGGACAGCCAGGTGCTCTCTGGCCGATGCCTTTTCCTTATTTTGTGGGATACCAAGACCCAAGAACAGTGTTCATGACTCTATGAAGGATTTTAATGACCAGTAACAGTCAATTTGCACTATTTTGTTTTCATCAAGTGATTACCAAGAGCTATAGAAATTTTTGGTCCTGGACAGATATACTGCAAAGAGCTTGTTTTTTTTTTTTTTTTTGCACAGAGATTTACATATTGAGTGAGTGGGAAAGTGATACTTATGCAAAGACAATGTGTGCAGTATTCATAATAGCTTCAACAAAATCTTGAGGACTTAATCTGGAAGTATACAGACAGCAAAGGTTTTTTTCCTGGATGCATCAAAGGCAGCTGTTGTTGGGGGAAACTGATCTTAAAAGGGTTTCTCAAATTAGCTTATGCTTGATAAGGAGTTAAAGAATCTTTTATTATAAGAGTTGTGCAATAAGGACATCACACGTAAGTTACAAGCCATGTGTTTTTAACACTGCAGGAGCAATAAGCAAGTTATATTTAGTTCTGTAAAAAAAAAATTGGCCCTTATTCACAACCAATAACAAATTGGCTATGTTGGCAAGTAACATATTCATTATGTTACTCATAACATATATATATATGTTATGAATAACATATATATACTGTATGTTATTCATAGGCTCTCCCCAATCTTTTAATTTTTCATTAGCGTTACTGACATGATACAAAGCTTAATTTATTGTTAAGTATTGTTAATTTGAGGTCCATTGTGGAGATGCTGAAAATAATATGAATATATGAAACGAACATATATTGAATCAGACCACTAGAGTCTCTTTGCAATCATTGTGATTCTGCCTGGCAGCATCTCTTCAAGTTTTAAAGCATTAATTTTTCCAGCCTTCTGTGAAAATGCTGCAATTTAAATCTGGGCCTTTCTACATGCAGCATAAGTGCTCAATGAACTATATATTTTTTTTCTCAGGGATCTGTATGGGAACCACTTGCGTTTGTAGCTATGCAAACATCAGATGGCATGGAGAGAGAACTATAATCGGAGTAGTTATTATGTGCTTTATTTGTTCAGCCATATGCATTATTGGGATAATACTTGTTAGAGCTGTACTTTCTAGGTCAGAACTGTGATAAACCAGAGCTGAGTTAGTAAAGCTGAGATAATAAATTTTTACAGGCTCCCTAAGGTTACATTTGGGTGCCAGATAACTCATAAATCTCCAAACTGGCTGGTAAACTTGAGAGAAATCGATCTGGATAGCAAGGCAAATCTTCTTTAAAAATGACCTCATTCTCTTCTTTCTTGAATTATTTCAAGCTATAGAATCAATTCCCACAAGAACTGTATCCAATTCTTCTTTCTCCTTTTAGAAAATAATTCAAATGTCTTTACTTTAGCCAGGTTTTCCACATTAAACTAGTTCGTGATGTTTTTAATTGTTTTTAATCCAATTTGGTTTTCTGATAGATTTTTATTCTCTCTCTTGAATACCATCTAGGCACAAAGCCAGGATTTAATATATACATATACATATATATATATACATAAATAGTCTCATAGTATGTAGCATTATTATTTTAACCCTCCCCTCCCCCAAATATCTGCTAGTCAAACTCACCTCTTCTCACATATTGACTTAATATTTTTATTGGTCAATAGAAAGTTTTTAAAAAAAGTTTCTGGAAAAAAATGTTTGGGGCCTCTAACACTTTTTATTAGGGAAACTAGGAAATGGGGGAGTTATAGAGGTAAAAGTCAAGTTCTCCAGGTGGTCCTCAACGTACGACCACAATTGAGCCCAAAATTTCTGTTGCTAAGCGAAACATTTGTTAAGTGAATTTTGACCCATTTCACAACTTTTCTTGCCACCGTTGTTAAGTGAATCTCTGCCGTTATTAAATTAGTAATATGGTTGTTCAGTGAATCTGGCTTCCCCGTTGACTTTGCTTGGAAGAAGGTCTCAGAATACGCTCACATGACCTGGGACACTGAGACCGTCATAAATATGAACCAGTTGCGAAGTACCTGAATTTTGATCATGAGATGCTGCAATGGTTGTAAATGTGAAAAAATGGTTGTAAGTCACTTTTTTCAGTGCTGTTGTAACTTTGAACGGTCCCTAAATGAACTGTTGCACGTCGAGGAGTTCCTGTACAATGCATTTTATTTATTTATCAAGCCTGTTGATAGACCTACAAGGAACTTGCAAACTAGGGCAGGTTTATTCCTGCCAATTACCTTAAATGTAAATGAGTTGCTATGAATCAGCCTTGGACAATTCCATGCAGGGCTTTTTTGGCAATATTTTGGAAGGGGCTTGCTTTACCTTCTTCCTAGGGCTGAGTATGACTAGCTCCATGTTAAGGTTGGACTAGTACTCATTGTTCTTTTGACTTTAATTCAACGCCATTAACCACCAGACAAGACTGCCAATTACTTTAGGGGTTTACTATTTTTTTTATCTTAGGGAAAAGATTATTTTTCACTTTTAAGTGAGCTGCTCCAATAATACTCTTGCCCCTGCCAGCCCAAAGAGTTGGCAGGGTCAGGATAAAAGTTTAATGCATTTCACTCTACTACATCTAATTACCATGATATACTGTGTATATTATTACCACTAACAATTTTTCTCCTTCCATGATATTAAAATGCTACCAAGCCTTGACTCTGCTTTTAGCCTTTTTAAAAAATTTTACATCAAAGTCAGCCACCTAATGATAAAACATTAGCACTTTAAATAAAGTGGCTTTAAAACGGTCATTTCATTTTGAATCTTGGAAATATGTTCCAGGAGCAAGATCAATTATATAGTGATTGCTCTGCTTTTGGTTAATATCATGGGCTAAATACAGATAATTAATACCCTTAAACAAATAAATGTTGAATAAAAGATACAGATGAACTCAGGGTTAGACTATATTTTGGAATTCCACTTTCATTTTTTCATGATGTTGATTTCCACCTAATAAAAATTCTATTTTTATTTGAACTGCTTTAGTCATTCACTGGTTTTCACCTTTTGATAAAATGTTCTGGATGCATTTGGGTTTTGTTATTCTCCCTGGGTATTAGAATGGAAAAAATAAGGTTTTCCCCAAAAATTATTCCATTCAGATCTGGGCTAAACTATGGCCCATATAATCACTTACGTGCACATTACACACACATACAAAGCCTATTTTCAAACATATGAAAATGTATGTCTTTCCTAGATAACCTTCAATAGGAAATTAAAAACAACTTGGATAAAAATGCAACTTAGAGAATATGTGGAAATAAGCCCTATGATACACTCAGGAATTTGATAGCATTATAGGAAGAAATGTGAACAAATTTCTCAAATCCAATGCTGTCATTCAGTTGCTGCCAAGCTAAAACTTCTCTTATTTGGCATATTCTACTTTAATGTAAACCTAATCATATGTTTCAACCTTTTCTTTGTTGCTGGGTTACCTAGTCTCATTCTCCTGATAAAACTGATCTGATATCCAGTATATTAAAATAGGAATTGAACAAGCATTGCCTTTTTCCAATTGCATTTAATTTTTAGGAATGCTTAACATAAATACATAGTGTTTGAGCTTCTCTCACCCATGACAATGAATCCAGTCTGCATCCTGTATTCCTTAAATTAACTACAATTCCAGATGCCTACATACCGGTAGTATATAGCATATATACTTGCTTGTGTGCAGCATGCTAGATGGCCAGAAGAGATGGCATGTAGGCTATTACATATTCCCAGGGGTGAAATCCAGCAGGTTCTGACAGGTTCTGGAGAACTGGTAGCAGAAATTTTGAGCAGTTCGGAGAACCGGTAGCGGAAATTTTGAGTAATTCGGAGAACTGGCAAATACCACCTCTGGCTGGTCCCAGAGTGGGGTGGGAATAGAAATTTTGCAGTATCCTTCCCCTGACACACCCACCATGCCCACCAAGCCATGCCCACAGAACCGGTAGTAAAAAAAAATTGGATTTCATCACTGCATATTCCAGGTATTTTTCCAGATTTTACTAATCAGGCATAAGAGCAAGGAACAATTGAAGGTAATACCTTGATATGGAGAGTAAAAGATCAAATGGTCAATGAGATTCTAGAAACAACTATTGAAGTGGGTAGGAGTAAACTTGAAAATCAAAAAGAAGTCATGATCATGTCTAAGAAAAAGAGGGGGGGGAGTTAAAGGTAATGATTTGGAAAATCCTAATGTGTCCAAATGAATCCAATAATTTTCCAAGTCATCTGTAATGATCTATTATTGCCAAAGGGTTCTACAAAAATGGATAAGCTTCCATGCTTTCTTTGCCAACTTTCACAAACTGAACAAACCTTTGGGATTGGGTCTTCTTAAAATAATGGAATTGCTAATACAAGGTGGATATTATCACTTGATTTTTAACCAACAAAGCTATGATAATTGCATACCATCTCTTGATTTTTAACAAAAAAAATGGAATACATTCAATATTGTAGTATTTCAAGATTGGGCAACAGAAATCTAATATATACAATTCATACTAGAAGGGACAACCAATGACAGAAACACACTATATTTTTGAAGTTTACTTTCCTCATACCAATAGCGCACTTCTAAAAGTGTTGTTGTCAAGTTTCCGAAAGATGTCCTAATTAATTCATGAGCCTTGAAAGCTTTGCAAGTTGACATTTGTCTTCTAGCATGTTGGACAACCATCTGAACAAACTCCTGTCATTAGCTCTGCCCATTGACCACTGATGGGGGCTGAGGTAAAAAATGAGAAAACGATATATTGTCTATTTTGATACACAAGAATGACCCCCTATCTATAGCAATGGCATGTTGTAGACAACAGCAACGAAAACAAGCTTTCAGCTCCTAAAAGAATGGAGACTCCATCTTGATATGAAAGAATTACCAGATGAGACCCGATGGCCAATCTTTTGATCCAAAGAATGAAGAAGTTGAAATTTGGACCCTAGGAGCAGACAAATGCAAAAAGAAAATAACACCTAGCAATAGAAGTCAGTCTTATCAGTCAGATTAAGGGGTTGTTGTTTTTCTCTCTTCTTTTTTCAGGCTGAGCTCAAGCTATCTTCTTTTATCTATTCTGACATAAAGGAGAAATTGTAAGATAGAAATCTTGGTTGATTGTAAAGTAAATACCAACAGGTTATCTCACGACGTATCTGCATGCAGGCTGAAGATAATAGGTACTTCTAAGTTCCTACAGGCAATGTATCCAGGTTAGACAAATGGTTGATTGAATTATTTTATGGATTATCTGAAGTATTGAAAAAATGTTCAGAAGTCGGTTTAGGAAGGACCATATAAAATTTCTTGGGGGTGTGGGGGAGGAGGGTATATTTTTCCTTTAGTGAAGGCAATTTAAGCAAGGGGAAAAACTTTTCAAAATGCTTTCTTCTAATCCAATCAAAGCACAAAGGCACTTCCAAATGGAAGAGGGTTGAGGGAATTTACATACCTGCCTTCGGAAGAAATAAATCAAATACAAATGACATTTGTAAATGGCATTAATAATCACACATTCCTTGCTTTTCTAAATCCTTTTCCTTCACCAGATAACGTCGTTCAAGTGTGACACCTCGAAAAGGCCCAAGGATGCTTCACTCAATTGTTTTACCTTTAGGGCAGATGACAAATGGCCTTAAACAAACTTAAGATGCCAGGGCTTGAACTGAAAACAGGAAAGGGAGAAGTGAGAAAGATCAGAGAAGATGAAAGAAAAGTAGAGAGAGAAGAAACATGTGGAATATCATAAATTGAATTCACTCCTGTCTTTGCCAATAAGAGCTACTTACTTATAGATGCCAATATTTGGAAGCCATCCATTATAGGAGCATGAATGACATGTGCCTGCTCTGATCCCAAAAAGACCAATACAGGTTCAGACCTGTTATAGTGTTCTGCCCAGCTACAGATCCCAAAGAACACAGCACACACAAAATTTGTACAAAACTTAATTTACTAAAATAACTCAGTCTTTTTCAAAACAAAGGCTATCAATAAACTTTCTTAACAGCCTACAAAAAACCAAAGATAAAGTAATCACAATCTTACTAAGGCTGGCAGAAAGCCCAAAAGCAATTTGCAGAGAATCCAGACGCGAAGTAGAGTGAACTGAAGTTGTTCCCTACAAATTGCTTCAGTCGGCGTTCCTCCTTAAATAAGCTAAGGGAGGAGCCACTCCTGCCTTTTGGCCACTCTGCGCACCCGTGCATCGAGAAGAGGGTCCTCCTCTTCGTCCTCTTCACTTAAAGGAGCTTCTGGAGGTTCTGAAGGTCCTGGCTGAATCCCTGCCTCTGGCACCACATCTTCTCCAGCCTCCACATTGTCTGACTCAAGTGCCAGCTGCACAGGCTGCTGGCGCAACACCACATCAGCCTCCTCACTGTCAGAATCAGCTACAATCCGCACAGGCCATTGACGGGCCACAACATATAGAAATATATTCATATTGTAAAGTTTTCCCTGGACTCCCAATTCTTTGGATGGCAACTGAATTGATATCGCTACCAAAACAATCAGTCATCTGTAAAACTGAACCACCAAATAAGTTGGCAGAGCCAATGTTACAGATGACATTTTGCTCTTTTAATGCAAGTACAGCTCTTCCTCAACTTACAACAGTTCATTTAGTGACCATTTAAAGTTACAATGGCACTGAAAAAAGTGACTTATGACTGTTCTTCACATCACCATGGCAGCATCCCCACGGTTACATGATCAAAATTTGGATGCTTGACAACTGATTCATACTTATGACGGTTGCCATGACCCGGGATCATGGGGTCCCCGTTTGTGACCTTCTGACAAGTAAAGTCAACGGGGAAGCCAGATGATCTTAACAACTGTGTTACTAGCTTAACAACTGGGGTGATTCACTTAACAACGGTGGCAAGCAAGTTTGTAAAATGGGGCAAAACTCACTTAACAACTGTCTCACTTAGCAAAAGAAAATCTGGGCTCAATTGTGGTCATAAGCCGAGGACTACCTGTACACAAGATTTACAATCATATTTTTGTGACCCAGGCCCATGTAGTTAATATTAAATGTAAAACAGTTCCAAAAATCAAACAGATTTTATTAAAACAGCTGAGAATTAACTCAGTCTCAGCTTATTCCAAATTAAATGAAAGCAAAGTACTCAAAACACCTTCAGTTTATCTCTGACCTTGGGATAATTAGGCAAACTGCCAAAGGCTTTTCTTGGCAACAGTTCAGGAACAGAAGATGCTGACAAGAAAGAAATACATCCAAACACGAAGCAAATCTCTCAACGGTTGTTTTCCGGCAAAGAGGCCAAGAGCTGTTACTAGTTTTTTAAGCCTTATGGGAGGGGCCAATCATCTCTTGGCCCTACTCCCGAGTCGTCCTCTCTGCTTTAGCTGCTCCTGCCTTCTGGCAGCTCTTCTCATACGTGCACTAGGAAAAGGCTCCTCCTGTTCCTCTGCCTCTCTATTGTCAGCCTCTGGAGACCCGAAGTCCGTGTATCACTCCTCAATGGCCCTGGCCCCATCTCTGCCTCCGACACAGAGCCCTCATCCAGGCCTTCCCCAGCCTCCAGGACTAGCCCATGTTCTTCCTCAGCCTCATCACTGTCTGACTCCGCTGCCAGCTCCGCAGGTTGCTGGTGGACCACAACACATATAGAGCCCTTCATCAGAAAGAATGAAATCATAAGTTTAATTAATTTCTACATTAATAAAGTACATGATCCAAGGCCAAATATAGATAACTCTTGAGCTGCTTGCAACCTTTGACTTTTTTTTTTTTTTTTTTTTTTACAATCCATGGATTTAGCAGCATCTCATCTACTTTTTCCAACCATGGAAAGCCAAAAATAGCCCACATCAGAGAACTGCCAACTCAATTGTGTAAAATAAAATACACTGAAGCACAAACAGGTGAGCTGTATTTTAGCTCAGGTTATTATACCATCCCAGCCTACGTTGATTCATAATTCTCAGTGCTCATATTAACTTAGAA